AACAGTCAATTCAATTTTAAGCTTACTATTTCATTTAGCTTAAAACCTTGGCTTTAGCTTTGACTTTGGCTTTGGCTTTGGCTTTGGCTTTGGCTTTGGCTTTGGCTTTGGCTTTTGGCTTTGGCTTTGGCTTTGGCTTTGGCTTTGGCTTTGGCTTTGGCTCTGGCTTGATTTGGTTTGGTTTAGCTTGGCTTTGACTTGGAAATTTGACTTTTTTGCCTCTATCAATCAAATCAGACAAGACCAGAATTTGACTGACTAATTTTAAGCAAATTGACCATTAAGCATAGACTAGTTTTAAGCAAATTGTATGTATGAACAAAGCTTTTGATCAATTATAAGTAATAACAAAGCAAGCCAAGCTTTTGGTCAGCGCATTTCCAGTTTTGGTCTGGAATTGCTGAAAGCCAAGCCAAGATCCGAAGGCCAGACCAAGCCAAAAACCAGATCTGGAGGTCAGATATCAGCACTGGTTCAGGAAAACTACCGTAAATCTACTATATAAAAGAGCTGTGTTTGTCTGTCTGTCAGCCTTCTGTCTGTCTGTCTGTCTGTCAGCCTGGCTGTCAGTTAGTCAGTCTGTCTGCCTGTCTTTCAGTTTGTCAGTCTGTCAGTTTGTCAGTCTGTTAGTCAGTCAGTCTGTCTATAGTCAGTCTGTCTATCAGTCTGTCTATCAGTCTGTCTGTCTACCGACGCGGGCGGGAGTCGAACCGGGGTTTTGTGGGCTAGAGACAAGTTAGCTGCGCCATCTATTGACCGAGTGGTTAACGGGCGCGTCTCTCAAACGAACGAAAAAGAGAGGTCCCGGGTTCGCCTCCACTCGCCACCAATTCTTTTGCTTTTTGCTCCAAAATTTTTTTGCTAATAGTACTCTAGCTAATGGTAAAGCTAATAGTAATAGCTAATAGCTAATAGTACTTTATATAGTACTCTAATAGGCCTCTATAGTTTTGTCCCCCGTAGTCTAAGTCTACTCTCAAACAAGTGCTCATATCTCGACACCAGTACGTTTGTTTTAGCGTTCTGAGGTATCAAATTAAAGTAGAGAAAATGGGCAATCTTTTGATATATAACACAGATCTCTGGAATTAACCAGTGCTTAGAAAAAAAATGATTGAAAAGTGATGAAAATCGGCTTTTTTTGCCACAGATCAGATCAGCTTTTCCATAATATTCTCCTTTTTAGAATGCGCAAAACGATGCTACTCCGGCTCCAAGGGGAACTATCAGTCAAGGATTTGTGGACTCGGCGAAAGTGATGACAAATATGTGTGCCAGAAATTCGTGTGCGAAGGCGGGAAATGTGAGTTACGAGAATTTCTCGTTTTCATTTTCACTCGAATTTAAGTTTTCCCAGCATGTTTATTTGAATGTTTTTCCCAAAGAAAGCCCCCAATTTCCCCTCTTTAGCTCCGTTCGTTTTGCGCACTTGTGCCAACAAGAATATGGGCTGCATGGCGGGGCCAGCGATTTGCAAATTCTCGCAGGGAAGCGGCTCGTGTGCTCGCTGTGAAACCGACAATTGCAATAATTAGAGAGGTAAATGCAGCATTTTATCCTTTTTTTCAGTTCTCAATCCTTTAAATTATTGTTTTTTTTCGTTTTTAGTGAGATTTGTGGTTTTTCTATGTAAAAAAAACGTAATCTTATCTTGTTTTTACGAATTTTTGTTTAAAAATGGAACAAAAAGTGATAGATTTGAGGGAAAAAAGAAAACGAGAGTCGAGAATTGGCCACGATAGTCGAGAAGTGGCCACGATAGTTGTCAATTTCATTTAATTTCATTTCCTTCCATTCTCCACGCTTCAGAAAACGTCGACAATCAGCCAATTAACATTTTGCAAAGCGCTAAGCGGTCGAAAACCTTTACTTTTGCTTTTTTTTGAGTGAATTTATTGCTGGGTAGCATTTCTAATTTCGTAGAGAAAAACTATCAAAATTGACTTGCGTGGGGGTGGAGTCTTAAGGAGTCCAATAGATTTTAGGGGACCCTGAGGGTACTTAAACCATTCTTTATCCATAATCCTCCATCCTGGATGTCACTCTAGATCCCCTCTCTATCTCAGATAAGATTCTGCTAAATTTTCTTCTTTGGGCGTAAATTGATTGGGCGCTTCTGGACGAAGAAAGGATTTTCCCAAAAACACGGAAATCCTGGCTACGGGTCTGCTGGTTACGGTAAGGGTTACGGTAAGGGTTACGGTAGTTATTATGCTGTAGAACACTGTAGCACTGAGTTAAACATTGGTTACTATAGTAAACAATACAAATGCATCACAAATTCATCACAAATTCCCCAAATTCAGCCACCGAACCGTGGACCACTCGTGCGTGTTCCGATAATATCACTTCTGTTCCCTGTGGTGCTTCGGTGACTCTTTGCGCAAACATGGGCTCAACCGGTTTATGCCATACTTGTGATAATGATGATTGTAATTCTTCGATTTCCCATTTTTCTTTGTATCTAATTCCGATGACTGTATTTCTTTCGAAATTCTTTTGCTAAAAGAAAATTTTCGTAAAAACTCTGTGATTTCTTCAATATTTCTTCAATTTCTTCGATTTCTTCGATTTCTTCGATTTTTACTTTTATTTCTCAATAAATTTTGTTGTTTATTTGTTCAAGACTTTAAAAAATAGATAATTTGAGTAAACTACGGTAATCTTTCCTTCAGATTTTCTCGAATTCACTAAATGTTGACCCAATTCGATGAAGAATCAAACGGTGAAGCGAAAATGCGATCAAAATTAAGTGAATTGGATTTGACCTGATCTGATCTAAGCCTAAGTCCAAGCCTAAACCTAAGCGCAAGACAACTGGTAATGTCTAGGGTTGATTTTCTCTTTGATAAGCATGTGTAGGGCTCGTCAGATCCACGGCTGACTGTAAAGTGAAACCAGAGACCGCATTAGGGACACAACAATTGGTTTGGCAAAGTTTGTCTAGACTTTCAACACTTTGACCATTGCTAAAATCGGGTTTTTGTCTTGAAGTCAAGCTAAAGCTAAAGCCTAATCCAGAACCTAGCTTTTGCCGGATTTGACCTGATCTGATCTAAGCCTAGGCCTAAGCCTAAGACCTCTGGCAATGTCTAGAGTTCATTTTCTCTTTGATAAGCCTGTCTAGAGCTCGACAGGTCCAGGGCTGACTGTCAAGTGAAACCAGAGATCAAAACGATCAAAATTAAGTGAATAAGAAAAATTCTGAAAGAAAACAGTACCTTTTCAAATTATCTATTTTCGAAAACACAAAACAAATAAAATTCCACTATCATCATGAAGAAAAGAAAGAAAAAAGAGAAGTGAAAATCGGGTCAATCTCGCAAGTCAATCACCCAAAATTTACATATCAGCGCCGACCTATTTCTCTCATTGCGAGATTCTCTCGAGATCTCTCTAGATTTCTCAATTTCATTTTGCAAGCTACTATATTATAATTTTAAATCTATTATATTATAATTTTAAATCTATTATATTATAATTTTAAATCTATTATATTATTTTTTAAATTCGTATATTTTTGATATCAAATATAGCAAATTTCTGAAAATGTAAGAAAATGAAAATAAAATTAGCGCTTAAAGGAGAAAAAATTTAAAAAAAGCAACAAATTTATGGGATAAAATATAAACGTTTTAATGTTTAATACAAATATTTTAAAATATTAGATTGAAAAGAAAGTTCTTGGAAAAAGTTTGCACGATGATTTCTCTAAAAACAAAGATTTTTTATCAAAAACAAAGCCTTCCCAGATTTTTTGATAAACTTTTTGATAAGTTTTTGACGAAAAAAAACAGAGTGGGCTTTAGGTAAGATTGAGATTTCTGCAGTTGATTTCTGCAGTTGATTGCTGTTTGCTGATTGCTGATTTCTGATTGCTGATTGCTGATTTCTGATTGCTGATTGCTGTTTGCTGATTGCTGATTGCTGATTGCTGATTGCTGCTTGCTGATTGCTGATTTCTGATTGCTGATTGCTGTTTGCTGATTTCTGATTGCTGTTTACTGTTTGCTGATTGCTGATTGCTGATTGCTGATTGCTAATTGCTGATTGCTGATTTCTGATTGCTGATTGCTAATTGCTGATTGCTGATTGCTGATTGCTGATTGCTGATTGCTGATTGCTGATTGCTGATTGCTGATTGCTGATTGCTGATTGCTGATTGCTGGTTGCTGATTGCTGATTGCTGCTTGCTGATTGCTGATTGCTGTTTGCTGATTGCTGATTGCTGATTGCTGATTTCTGAGTGAGATTTCTTCGGCTGAAGGGACTTGATCACTTTTTAAGTGACGAGCCTTTAGACAAGTTTTTATTTGGTTAATGAATAGGCAATGGGTCTCATTTAAAATCTAAAATCAAATACTTAAAATAGGGAAAATTTGTGATTAAGGCAAATTTGATTTAATGCTTTTAAACTTTCAGAATCATCTATTTTAGTGTAAACAGAATTTAAGCTGGAAAATAAGAATTTTCTTCAAAAATCTCTAAAATTTGAAAGGAAAGCTGCATTCATTTTTTTCGGGTAATTTCTTGGAGTAATTTCTTTCTTTCTTTCTTTCTTTCTTTCTTTCTTTCTTTCATCTGATTGCTCTTCTCTTTTCCCATTTCATTTCTCTACCAAAGTATTTCCATTATTCTTTGATTACTTTATTACTTTCTACTCCAGCTGGATCACTTCACTAGGTTCAATCGGAGTTTTTCAGAACTCAAAAAGCTTTCTTTCTTTCTTTCCAACCTAATACAAACGAAAAAGTGGATGAAAATTTTCCGCTTTAAAAGCGTTTTTTGTAATTACGTGTTGGGGTGGGGTACGTTCAGAGAAATGGAATCCAATCACAGTATTTTCCAACTTCAATTCCAACCTGATTACACGATCATTTTCTAGAACGAATTAGAACAATTTATTTGTATATATGAATATTTATTTTATAAAAAATCATGTTCACTTCGAATTTTTTAATTTTCAGTGACAGTTCATAGAATTTACCTCAGTTTTTTAGATGCACGATCCGTTTCGGTCGTTGGCCTGCGTGTCGGTGATCACTTCCGTTCTGTGCACGCTTTTTGCTATCTATTTCTCGATTTCTTTGCACAAAAACGCTTCACTAGCTAGACGGGATATTGAGGAAAGAGCGGAAGTGTTGAAGGTGAGAATGGGTCTTGAAATTGGCTCTTAACCGGAATCCGGGCCTTTTAAAATGAGTAGTTCGAAAAAGTTCGCTTTGAAAGACCTTTAAAAGACCATAACTTTGTTCAGATACTATCTTATTGTTAACTTTATATATCATTGTTACAATTTATACATTATCATCAAACCATCAAGCCTGGGTCTCACTGCTAATAAAAAAGAAGACATTTGAGGCTTTCGAATGACGCCAAATAAAGCTTGATTCTTTTTACTTTAAATAGGTGAATAGGTTACTTTAGGTTTATCTTTCTAGATCGTACACGAGTCTTTTTGGGACCAAATCCAATGGGAGATCCGCACAATGCCGTGGATTGGGGTGGCGTTGCGGGAGAAGAGGGATTACGGTCAGAATCCGGATGGGAAACAAAGAAATGAACACGGAGTGTTGCATCAGTGCAGTCGTGAGTTCTCGAGGGATAAAATCAATTAATTTGCGAGATTGTCACCAAGTCAATGCAAATGCATAGCCTCAATCCTAAACAAAGCTCAAACTACCGTAGAAACACCTCAAACTACCCTAAACATTTCAGTAAGTTATTCAGTTATGCGTGGGATGAAGGCAAAAAAATCGGAAAGCAGATTTTTACCCAAAGTTTGAGAGATTTTGAGATTTTGAGAGACAGATTGTTAATATTTTCGTCAATCAAGGTCAATCAAGCTCAAGTCAGGTTGAACTACTTGAAAAGTTGATATTAGCAATGAATAGATCTTAGGAAAAAGTTTTGATAGCTTGAATTTTTGTTTTCCTTTGGGTTTAACATGTTGGGGAGCCCTTCATAGCTGTCGTTGGACTGCAGAGACTGCACTGCCGAGAGTTCGTGATAGTTCCGAAAAATTGGGAAGCGCTATTTTATTTTAATTGCGTTTTTCCCTCTATCTGGATATCACACTAGAATTTTTAAAATTCGGATTTTTGATTTTCACCAAAACATACTCGATGTGCGTCGCATACAATATTTTCTCTTACCAATGGTTTTGAGTACCTGAAAGGGGGTGGATAGGTACCAGAATTGACCAAGTTTTAGCTCTGCTCTGTTTCGCTGAATCTTAATAAAGCTTTTATATCAAATATCTAATTTATCCTCTACAGATCTCCTTAATAAACAATATATTCCAGAATGCCAGCGCCTCGCTTGTCCAATGGGAATGGCGGGGAGAGAGGGAGGACCTGGCACTGATGGGATGCCGGGATTGCCCGGGAAAACGGGAAATGTTCGTTTTACACAGTTTTTAGATAAAGAAAACTTAAAAAGGAACTTGAAAAGGAACTTAAAAAGGTAATTTTTAATGTTTTTAAAAGCTTTTGAAGTTTGGGTACTTTTGCAAAAGGACGCGGTATGGCACCGCCGCAATATGGTGCCGAATTACTTTCCTCCGTCTAGTGACTGAATGGTGTAGTGGTTAGTGTGCTCGGTCTCAGTGCCGCTTGTTCGAATCCATGTCCCTGCTGTAAAACCATTTTTGTAACCCTTTCTATACCAGTAAAACAATTTTTAACTATTTTAAAGTATTTATAAACATTAAAAAGTCAAATAGAGCCCCTGGAAATGTCTGAAAGCTGCAGGAAATGTCTGCGACTTTCAGTGAACACAAAAGAGCTTTCCCAATCAAGCCCTATCTAACTTTCAGCCAGGAATTGATGGAGAGGATATCGAGTTGGACTCTCCACCGGATTTGCCGTGCTCGATTTGCCCGGGCGGCCCACCGGGGCCTCGCGGTGCCCAGGGAGAACGTGGAATGAGTGGAACTGGAGGCACAAGGGGATACTCAGGTAGTGGAGCTGGATTTTCCAGACAAAAATCTTTAGGCTTACCGGGGAACCCGGGCCAAGACGGTGGACCGGGATTGAGTGGAAATTCGGGACCTTCTGGTCATTCGGGACTCCGCGGGCCGAAAGGACCAATTGGACGGGATGTTATCGGTTGGCTTTACAAAGTTTTACAGAGTTCGGGCTCAGTTTTTAAAGTGCAAAGTTTGTCTAGACTTTCAAGACTTTGACTATTGCTAAAATCGGGTTTTTGTCTTGAAGTTCAGCTAAAGCCAAAGCCTAATCCAGAACCTAGCTTTAGCCGGATTTGAGAACCTAGCTTTTGCCGGACTAGCTCTGATCTAAGCCTAAGTCTAAGCCTAAGACATCTGGTAGTGTCTAGGGTTCATTTTCTCTTTGATAAGCCTGTCTAGGGCTCGTCAGGTCCAGGGCTGACTGCCAAGTGAAACCAGAGACCAGGCTAGCGACGCATTTGGTTTCCAACCCGAATGCTGTCTATTAATATTGAATACATCATCTTCAAAGTACAAATGTTCCACTTAAGAAAGAAGATAGATTTAAATCCACTAAAGCTATCTACTTTTTCAGCTGGTGAAGGCATCAAGGGACCCCGAGGTCCACCCGGTCCACGGGGTATCGCTGGATCAAGAGGTGTCCCTGGAAGAGCTTCAAATCAACCAGGAATCCCTGGACAACCGGGAACACAAGGAAAGATTGGAAAAGCTGGACTGGTAAGAACAAAGAATTGTCAAACTCGTTAAACATTCAGTCAAAACATTCAAAATTGAGCTTTTTAGTATGGTCAATTCGGAGATCGTGGCTCGCCGGGAGCACCTGGTGACCCGGGATTGTCAGGCTTGTTTTTAGCAAAGAATTTCCCAAAGAGATGTTGAATGTCAGCAAAAAGATGTTGATTTTAACAAAGAAACAAAAGAAATGTTGAATGTGTGATTCGTTTAGCGAAATTGTGACATTTCTAGGCACTTACTGCCCCTCGGATTGTGGTGTGAATAAAATTGTCTCCGAGCTCGTCCATCTAAACCCAGCCTCGAATCCAAATGGATACGATCATCCGGAAGATGTAGAGGTTGATGAGCAAGGGTTTTTCTTCAAATTTATTCAACTTTTCTTCAGTCTCGTCCCCAAGAGAAACCATTTGAGCAAAAAGAGGGCAACATCGGCTACGATTTGGAGACGATTCAGCAAAAGATGAAGCCACCGGGAGCAATGCCAAATGGTGAGAAAAGATTTGGCAGTTGACAAAAAAGCAGACCAGGCCAGGGGCCAGCTCAGGGACCAGCTGACCAGCCCAGGGCTGATCCACAAATGAGGCATGAAGCTAGGACTAGGTTAGAAGTCCTGAACTTCCAAAAAGCCAGAAGCTATGGCTAGTCAGGCCAAGGGTTATGGCCTGGCTTTAGCTGGTTTAGAAAATGTTCTGGACTTTCAAAAAGCTAAAAGCCAGGCTAGGCCAATGTTGACCTATGATCTGGCTTTGGCCTGGCCTGGCCTGGCTTTCTACATTTTCTAAGCCAGCTAAAGTCAGTCGTAGCAACAACCCTGACCTAGATCAGGTCAGTCTAAACCTGAAAAATCTTGTGGCTATAGGCCAGGTCTGCTTTTTAGGCAGAAATAAAATCCGGCCAGAAGCTAGCCTAGGGCTTGGTCAGAGCCAGGCCTTTCTAGATTAAGTCCAGATTTGGCTTCCGATCCAGTCTTTCAGTCAGACTTAATCCAGAGACTTTTTATGGGACAGAGCATGGCTTTAGCTCGGTCTTGGCGTGCCGTTGCTGACCTGGAACTAACTGATTTCGAAAAACTGTAAGAGTTGATAGTTTATAAAGACAACTGACAATCCGATCTGGTCTGGGTTTTGTTTTTGAAAGTCATAGTGAGTTTATGCCTTTCCCTAGACAGTGCTAGAGGCACTGAGTCCAAGCTAGGACTGGTTTACATGAGTCGTGGGCCAGATCAGGCAAGGTAAGGTTAGAGCTAAAGCCGGGAGCTAGATCAAGGCTGTATAGGCCAGAGCTAAAGCCAAGAGCTAGATCAAGGCTGTATAGGCCAGAGCTAAAGCTAAGAGCTAGATCAAGGCCGTATAGGCCATTTGATCTATAAGCCAGATCAAGATCAAGGCTAGAGCAGCAATTTTTTGTGAAGTTACCAAAACCAGTATTGTCTGAGTTGATGATCTGGAAAGTTTTCAGGGGCTTTTAATCTAGATCAAGATCATTAAAATCTTCGACCACAACTGTAATTCTTGTGTCAACTGAATCCTTTTTATCTTACTTTATTAGAACAAAGTGTTGGTTATAGTACTATTTTTTTGAAATCAGGATCACTTTCAGCCGCTCAACCCGCTTACAAGAGCGCCGAAGAGTACGAAGAGCAAGGCTACCGAATGCTGTTCAGCGCCGTTTGAGAATAGATGAAGAAAAAGAAATTTAAGATCAAATCTCAACTTTTTTTTACAAGTTTATTTAATGTTTAGATTTATATTACATTAAATTTACATTAAATTTGCATTAAATTTACATTCATTTACAAGTTAAACAAGTTAAACAAGTTTATTTAATAAAATCTTCATGAAAAGAGCACTTATTCTTCTGATTTACATTCATTTACAAGTTAAACAAGTTAATTTAATGAACTCTTCATGAAAAGAGCACTTATTCTTCTGATTTACATTCATTTACAAGTTAAACAAGTTAATTTAATGAAACCTTCATGAAAAGAGCACTTATTCTTCTGATTTACATTCATTTACAAGTTAAACAAGTTAATTTAATGAACTCTTCATGAAAAGAGCACTTATTCTTCTGATTTACATTCATTTACAAGTTAAACAAGTTAATTTAATGAAACCTTCATGAACAGAGCACTTATTCTTCTGATTTACATTCATTTACAAGTTAAACAAATTAATTTAATGAAACCTTTATGAAAAGAGCACTTATTCTTCTGATTTACATTCATTTACAAGTTAAACAAATTAATTTAATGAAACCTTTATGAAAAGAGCACTTATTCTTCTGATTTACATTCATTTACAAGTTAAACAAGTTAATTTAATGAAACCTTCATGAACAGAGCACTTATTCTCCTGATTTACATTCATTTACAAGTTTTACAAGTTAAACAAGTTAATTTAATGAAACCTTCATCAAAAGAGCACTTATTCTTCTGAATTTTATCAATTTCCGAAAAGTTTTGCTCGATAAACTTTTTCTATAACTTTGTAGGCTATAATAAAAAAAGAAAAAGTTGCTGAAAAATGCCAGATTTGATTAAAGTAATTGTAAGATTTGGAATTCACAAAGCATAAACAAATTTGCGTCAGAAAATTTGATTAGATCGGCGTACCGATTAACAATTTGGAATGTTTATGATGTTGGGGGGAAATTTGGAAGAAAAAATCAATGTACAATTGTGAGAACAAAGAGCTTTTGTTCGGTGAAAAGAGTACTTTTTCGACAAATTGCTTGTGATTTGTGCCTGACATTTTGCAAATAAGAGCTCGAGCTTTCAAGCTGCTAGGCTATTCTACTTGTACAGAAGTATCAGTTGAGCCTGACTCTAGCCGATTCTGACCTATTCTGACCTATTCTGATGGGTCAAACCAAGCCCTATTCTGTACAAGTACAAGGAGAATAGCCTAGCAGCTTGAAAGCTCGCGCTCTTATTTGCAAAATGTCAGGCACATTGCGTAAATCACAAGCAATTTGTCGAATTGCTAATAATTGTAAAATAAAAGAATCTGAGCTGGATCTGCTGGCTGAATCCCAGCCAGCAAGCCAGCAAGCTCTGGATTTGGAGTCTAATAAACCTGTCCGTGAGTCGACTCTAATAGGAAGCCAAGCTTAATCTGATCTAAGAGAATGGCCACAACTTTGCGAACCAGACCAGGCTCTGATCCTGATTCAGCTCGGCCAACTAAGCCTGGGTCTGGTTCTCGTCCATGCCAACTGGCTCCTGACTTTGACTAGGACAAGATCTGGTCTGACTAGATGAACAGATTTCCCAATGACAACTCCGAACCAGGTCAACTGAATGTACAGGACCAGGCCAGGGCTCTGGTCCAGACCAGAAGCTGGCTGGCCAAGGAGCTAGCTGATCAAGGAGCTGGCTGGCCAAGAAGCTGGCTGGCCAAGAAGCTGGCTGGCCAAGGAGCTAGCTGATCAAGGAGCTGGCTGGCCAAGAAGCTGGCTGGCCAAGAAGCTGGCTGGTCAAGAAGCTGGCTGGTCAAGAAGCTGGCTGGTCAAGAAGCTGGCTGGTCAAGAAGCTGGCTGGTCACTTCCATACCCAAGCCAAGATCTGTTCTATTCATTCAACTTTCCGAGTGAAAATCGATACACTTTGAACTATTTATTAACCCGCATTCTTTACAATTTTTCAAATCCTTATGTTGTTGGTGAATTGATAGTCATCATCGGCATCGACTGCATTCGTCGAATGAATAACAGCGAGGTTTTCCTTGCTCGAGCCACCTCTGGCATTGAATGTAAGTCGAGGGAACTCGTCGAGCTATTCTCCGGTTTTTCCGCTCTCTTTGCAACTGAGGCAGCGACTCTGAAAAGCTGGCTTTGTACAGAAGATTTCAGTCCTTATCTAGCAGTCTAGCAGAGTTGTTTTTCAAGCTAAAGTTCTTGAAGATAAAGCGTATCGAGTAAAAAGTAAAGTAAAAAGTAAAGCAGAAGGCTTACATATCTACAGTTACATTGATCTATTTACCTAGTTCTTTTTGCATTACATTACCGTCTAATCTAATCATTACAGTAAACTGGCATGATACTCTAGTTATTCTAAGCTACCGTACCGTATACGGTAGCTACCTAAGCCTAAGCCTAAGCCTGAGCTCAGCTTTGTTAAACTTAAATAAAGCTTAAGCTTAAACTCTCAACTTAGGTCGCATTTCTTCTTGGCTTTGATTTTTCTGAATTGAATTATCCAATAAATCTCTTTTTTATATCATTCGAAAGCCTGAAATGTCCTCTATTCAATGATATAAAAAGATCTGAATAATATTATTTGTGAACAAAGTTTTTGGCCTTCAAAGCTAGACGACTCAAAATAGCCGGAAATCAAACGGATCAAATGGACTCAACACCTTTGAAGCCCCATAACTTTGTCTAAAGCTAAGATTATTTATATCTTTTTATGTCATTGAATAGAGGACATTTCAGGCTTTTGAATGATATCAAAAAGAGCTTAATTGGATAATCCAGTCCAGAAAAATCAAAGCCAACTCTCAGCCAAGATCAAGAGGAGCTTTCAATTGTCTACTGAAAGCCAAGTCAAGTCTACTGAAGTCTACTGAAGTCTACTGAAGTCTACTGAAGTCTACTGAAGTCTACTGAAGTCTACTGAAGTCTACTGAAGTCTACTGAAGTCTACTGAAAGTCGATTTACAGTATAGATCATTGCAGTATTTACAGTTATAAATGCTTGGGAAATATTTTGGAAAGCGAAAGAGCAAAAGAGCAAAAGCAAAAGCAGAAAAGCAAAAGCAGAAAAGCAAAGCAAACAGACAAGACAAGCTTAAGCTTCCAATCTCTTTCTCACCCCTCAAAATGAACTTGTTTTCTAGAAATGTTTCTTTAAACCATCAAAAACCAAAAACCAAACCAGCAATGACACTTTGCTCATTCTTTTCCTTCACAAAAGCCACTTCTTTCACTCACTCAATTCACTCAATTCACTTCAATTCACTTTAAGACGTTCTCACTCTCACTCAATTCACTTTAAGACGTTCTCAATCTCACTCAATCTCACTAAACCTCATTCACTCACTCACCCCAATGCCGTTTTTCCCTTCTCATCGTTTTTTCCTCCTAAATTTAGGATATTCAATGAGAAGATTTTTGCATGAATCGAAGCAATCGATTGAGTGTAACCTGAAAAGAAAGAAAGAGAAAGAATTTTTGACGAAAATTGGTGCACTTTTTCGTATGCTATTCGTCTACAACACAAAACTCACTATTTCTGCAAACGATTACCGCCAACAAATAATCCCGATAGGCTTTACAGGAGACGATTTGCGCTGTCGAGCAAATGAAATCCTGAAGTGAGAAAACGATAGCCATGTCCGTGCAAATGACTGAAATCTTCGAGATGTTCAGATGGAAATTATGAAGCTGGGAAATGTTCGGGAATGTTTAAAAAGACAAAATTGTTTAAAAAGACGTCTCTCCATAAGTAAAAGCTTCTATTCTCATGACTGGGGATGGGACTCAAACTTGGGAGCAAAGCAAGTAAATGGTTTGGCAGTCTAGCAGACTATCCACAAGGCCCTCGAAGTTGTTCACAAAGTGTGGGGCGGTTTCTTAAGGAGTCCGAAGAGATCAGGAGCCTCATAAGAAGCTCGAAATTTAAGGTGATTTCTAAGTCAAATATCTCGAAGCGAATCGTTCTGCAAAAAGTAAAAACGGATTTGAGATCGCTATGGCTGCCTTTATAAGATGGATTTGGTCGTGTGTCAAATGGCTGGCTGGCTTGGCTGGCTGGCTAGTTTGGCTGGCTGGCTAGTTTGGCTGGCTGGCTAGTTTGGCTGGCTGGCTAGTTTGGCTGGCTAGCTAGTTTGGCTGGCTTGGCAGGCTTGGCTGGCTGGCTAGTTTGGCTGGCTGGCTAGTTTGGCTGGCTTGGCTAGCTAGTTTGGCTGGCTGGGTGGCTTGGCTGGCTTGGCAGGCTTGGCTGGCTAGTTTGGCTGGATGGCTTGGCTGGCTGGCTTGACTGGCTTGCTTGGCTTCACTCAGTACCTTTCCTTTCAAATCAACACTCACCTGACGAAATGCCGACTTTCAACCCAACGACCGCAAAACAAAAAGGCCCACCAACGAAAGTGATCATTAATAACATCTGAAAAGGTTTCTATCAACTAAAATTTTTTCTGACATTGCTAAAAGTAACCAGATAGAAGTTAGATTGAATAAAACTAGATCCAAGATTACTAGATCCAAGCTTTTTGCCACTCACTTAACTCAAGAGAAATGCACTTAAACCCTGACTAAAGTGTATTCCAATCTTCTGCTTTGTTTTCTAAAACTACCTTAACCCTAAAGTACTCTAAATTCTGATTAAAAACGGTATGATACTCTATTCTATTCTAGGGTTTTCTTTCATTTCATTTCTTGAATTGAATGATGTGGTTTTGATCTGATTTTGATCTGATCTGATTAAGATCTGATTTGGACTTGATTTGGACTTGATTTTGATCTGATTTGGACTTGATTTTGATCTGATTTGGACTTGATTTTGATCTGATTAAGAACAAATTCTGATCAAGAACGGTTAAATAAACGATTCTGATCAAGAATCAAGATCAATTATGTAAATTCTATTCTAGATTTTCTTTAATTTCTTCTCAACCTGTAGCACCATTGCTTTCAGCAACTGAAGTGACAATTTTCGCGTGTATTTCGAGTCGGTACCCATTCGAATCGATAAATAACAATGCAGCGATAAGCCGAGAATGAAAAAAATCATCGAGAAGTTTGTGACACTGGAAATTCAAGTAATGAGTGACGTTTGAATGACGTTTGAATGGCGTTTGATCAGATTCGGAATCAGCGTGAAATTCTTTGTCGAATCTATGGCTTAACTCATTTGACTACATCCTACTGTTGCCGTTCTCTTGTGAGTGAGGTGTTTAGGTGGAACTCGATCTAGACTGAATACCCTATTCTAGACCGAATACCGTAACCTAGACTGCATACCCTAATCTGGACTGTATAGCCAGCCAGCCAAGCCAGCCAGCCAGCCAGCCATTTGACTCACGACCAAATCCTGGCTAGTTTGGCTGGCTGGCTGGCTGGCTGGTAGCTACGACCACAGGTGGTAGCTACGACCACAGGTGGTAGCTACGACCACAGGTGGTAGCTACGACCACAGGTGGTAGCTACGACCACAGGTGGTAGCTACGACCGGAGGCACAGAAGACACTGGGGCAACTGGAGAGACCGGTGGAACAACACCAAGCGGTACTGAGCACGCGAGAGAACAACACCGCGCGAGAGACTGGGGCAACAGAAGGAACAACAGCTACGGGAGAAACTGGAGAAGCGCCGGGTACGGGAGTTTTACCGTAACCAGCGCTGTGTTCGAAATCTTAACTAAACAAGTGACATTTGATCTAGAAATCAATACCTCGTAATGGCAAAGAAGAGGAAGAAATATTGGCCCATATCGAGAAAAATCATCGACGTTTCATTGAGGAATGGAGCCCACGTTTGTGGGGATTCGTCGATCAAATCCTAAAGGTATTTGGAAGATTTTAGATTAATTATTGTCTTTAATTGTTAATTATCAATCTTTGATTAAAATTTTTGTTGAAGATTCAATAAAATGAATATAGCTAAATCGATTCGCTGACCCCGAGAGCCCCCCGGTACAAATTTACAGCTTAAAATGGTTTTTTTTGTACAATCTAGAATGCAGAACAAAATTCCCTATGTAAAAATTGCTTTTAAAAGAGTTTGCTATAAAGGAATTTGCTTTTAAAGATCTTATTTCTTAATAGATAATGGCCAAAATTACCGTTACGATGCTCACTCGCGCGCCAATGCGCATTTCTTCAAACTTGTGCTGTTTTCTGTGTTTTTTTTCTGTTAATATTATTTATTGTTCAACATTAATACAAGCTGTGCTTTCAATTTTTCTCAACAAGTCAATATAAATAGGTAACACGTACTGTAAGATAGAAGACAGTCATTTTCAAGAAAAGTTTTGAAAAAACGCAGGGCTTGAGAGAAGGCGTAGGAAAGGCTACGCTGTAGGAAAGGCTGTGCTGTAGGAAAGGCTGTGCTGCAGGAAAGGCTGTGCTGTAGGAAAGGCTGTGTTGTAGGAAAGGCTATACTCTAGGAGAGGCTGTGCTGTAGGAAAGGCTATACTCTAGGAGAGGCTGTGCTGTAGGAAAGGCTATACTCTAGGAGAGGCTATGCTTTCAATTTTTCTCACCAATGCAATATAAATAGGTAATTTATGTCTAAAACTAGCTTATTCAAATGATTTGTTTCAACTTCAGTTGAAAGCCAATTTCAGTTTTTTTTTCAATTTTAGCTCAAACCTGTATCTTTCGCTGCTTCACCACAAAACATAATCCAAAAAGCGGCAAAAAGCCGACAGTGCAGATGAGAATCGAGATGATGACACCGCTGCGCGTTTGGAATTTGAAACGAGACTGAATTTATTTGTGAAACATTTACGAATAATGTATAGTTGATCTAAATTTGATATTTGATTTGTTTTTACTTTACCTTTCCTTTATCTTTCCTTTATCTTAAAATACTCTAAATTCTTTACCGATGGAACTAGCGCTTTCTGATGTCGATAACAAATCGCTAAGCCAACAGGCGCCGCCGCCAAGAGAGCGTTCGAGAAGGTTGGGATCTGAATTGGGATTTTTATTGGAAATGCTTTGCTTCAATGCTTTTGCTTCAATGATTTGCTTCAATGCTTTTGCTTCATCAATAATCTAGAATTCTCTTGTTTCTAATCAATTAACTAATCAAATTCACAGAATATAAACGATTCTTTGACTGACAAGAAACTTGTTTCAAAGGACTGACAAGAAACTTTGGCAACTTTTTCAAGAAAAGCCAACTAGAGCTCATTTGAGAGCTTGGTAGTTGAATCGAATTTTATAATTTGCAAGTTTCGCGGTAGATAAATGTGGCCAAAATTCAGCCTTTCAATTCTCTATTTAACACTTGGTAGTTTTGAAATCAATTAGACGCTTGGGAACTGCAATACCTTGGTGAGCCCAGAATTGTTTTGTTACCCTGTAAATGCTGACTAGTGATTAAAAGTGGGTAATGCTAGCTGCCCAATCACAAACCAAGCAAGCCTGTGCTCCTAAATTAGCACACCATCCGTCTGTCATGATGAACATATTCTGCAGTCCGGACACGAAGATGAGTGGAGCCCAGTGAGCGAGATTGAACGTGATCATCGCCATGCAAGCCTGTAAGAAAGTCGAGCCTGTAGTTGAGGCATAGTTGGATCAAGTACAGTTATGTTGGAGCTGTTAATGGGAGATTGATCAGATCGATAGGATCAGTAGAATTTATTGGATTGGGTTGGATTGGATTAGATTGGATTGGGTTGGATTGGATTAGATTGGATTGGGTTGGATTGGGTTGGACTGGATTGGATTGGATTGGATTGGGTTGGGTTGGATTGGATTGGATTGGATTGGATTGGATTGGATTGGATTGGATTGGATTGGATTGGATTAGATTGGATTGGGTTGGATTGGATTGGATTGGATTGGATTGGATTGGATTGGGTTGGATTGGATTGGATTGGATTGGATTAGATTGGATTGGATTGGATTAGATTGGATTAGATTGGATTGGATTGGGTTAGTTTGGATTGGATTGGATTGATTGGATTAGATTGGATTAGATTGGATTGGATTGGGTTGGATTCGATTCGATTCGATTCGATTGGGTTGGATTTTATCAGATCTCTTTCCCAGCCTTTTAACAGCACTAACATTTGAGCTTTATATGGTAAAATGTCTCTTTTGAATCTAGATTGCATAAATCTAGGCTTATTGGATAGAAACTAGGCTTATTGCCCAACCAATAACCTCAAAATGACAATGCTCAATGGAATGCAACAATTACAGTGAAATGTAAGAATTTCTTAAAATATAACAATTTCTTTGAAATATAACAATATCAGCAAAAAACTAGCCTTTCTAGAATTGCTATTTGATCTAGAAACTTGATTATTAAATCTAAAGAGATTCTGGATTCGAAATTTGATTAAACTTTCAAATCGCAAAAGCTTTGTATGCTTTCAATTCCGCTAGATTCTGCTAGATTCTGCTAGATTTCTAAAAACGCACCAAAAACGCATTTTGTCTAGTACCTGATGAAATAGCAATAGTAAACTGTAAGTGCGAAAAGTTTTTGGCGTTGCCCGGAGAATACAGATGACACAGAAAGAATTTGAGATCAACGCGAATCCATGTGAGACATTTAGCAAAATGTGATACAGAGGTAAATGGCCAACGATGTCCATCTGAAATTGGAAGACTGAAATTGGAAGACTAAAATTGGAAGACTAAAATTGGAAGACTGAAATTGGAAGATTGAAATTGGAAGACTGGAATTGGAAGACTGAGTGGAAGGGGGGGCGAGGGCGGGGGGAATTGGAAGACTGGAATTGGAAGACTGGAATTGGAAGACTGGAATTGGAAGACTGAAATTGGAAGACTGAAATTGGAAGACTGGAATTGGAAGACTGGAATTGGAAGACTGAAATTGGAAGACTGAAATTGGAAGATTGAAATTGGAAGACTGAAATTGGAAGACTGGAATTGGAAGACTGGAATTGGAAGACTGAAATTGGAAGACTGGAATTGGAAGACTGAAATTGGAAGCTGAATTGGAAGACTGGAATTGGAAGCTGGAATTGGAAGACTGGAATTGGAAGACTGGAATTGGAAGACTGGAATTGGAAGACTGGAATTGGAAGACTGGAATTGGAAGACTGGAATTGGAAGACTGGAATTGGAAGACTGGAATTGGAAGGCTGGAATTGGAAGACTGAAATTGGAAGACTGAAATTGGAAGGCTGAAATTGGAAGACTGAAATTGGAAGACTGGAATTGGAAGACTGGAATTGGAGGACTGAAAGTTGAAATTGGGAATTGGAAAGCATTAAAAACTGGATACAAATTGAGAAATGTACATTCTTTCAGCAGTTTTTCATATTTTTCAGCTCTTCATTAGCGTCATTTGAAGTGCGGACTAGAAAAATTGTAGTTGCTTTCAATTTTTCTCTTTTTTCTTTTCAATTCAAGTTTTCCTTTTTACTTTTTTACAGACAGACGGACAGACAGACAGACAGAGAAACTTACTCTTTATTCTTTTGCAAAAGCAATTGTTTAACAAAATAAGGAGCAAATGAGTCAAAAAAGGTTATCAGGCCTTTTATACCCGCCCCTTTGCCATTGGCTAACTTTGAGCTCAAATATCTTTGTGTTGAGTTGTCCAATTTCAATATTCTCGATATCATTAGATGCGCCAAGTCTTTCTCTATCGATTGGTACAAAAATTGTTCTAATTGGACAGCTCAACACAAAGAAATTTGAGCTCAAAGTTAGACTGGCAAGGGTAAAAGGGGCGGGACGATGTACCTTTTATACTAGCCCCGCCCCCTTTGCCATTGGCAAACTTTGAGCTCAAATTTCTTGTTGACTTTTTCAAAATAAATAGTTTTTATACCAATCGATAGGGAAAGACTTGATGCATCTAATGATATCAAGAAGATTGAAATTAAACAGCGTATAAAAGGTCCGTCGCCCCGCCCCCTTTTGACCTCAACTTTGAACTCAAATATCTTCGTATTGGGCTGTTCAATTGGAACAGTTTTTATACCAATGGATAGAGAAAGGCTTGGCAAATCTAATGATACAAAGAAGTTTGAAATTGGACAGCCCAAAACCAAGATATTTGAGCTCAAAGTTGGATTGCCAATGGGAAAGGGGGCGGTCTGGCAAGACAAAGGCCAAGGCTAGATTAGAAGCCTCTTTGTGTTGGGTTGTCAAATTTTGGCCTGGCTTGAGCTGTTTGGACCCATAAAGGTGATTGTGGAAGTCCCGCTTCTTTGCCATTGGCAATCTAACTTTGAACTCAAATATCTTTGTGTTGAGTTGTCAAATTTCAATATTCTTGATATTATTAGACGCGCCAAGTCTTTCTCTATCGATTGGTAGACAAGCTATTTATCTTGAACGGCTTAACACCACAGAAAACGCAGATCCGTCAGTCTAGATGAAAATTCATCAAGAGTCAAAAAAGAAAGCAAACTGGGTATGGAAATGAATGTTTTGCATTCAAAAGCTTCGATTCTAGCCATGTAAAAATCGAATATGACTTATTGTAAGGCAAATAGGAACATTGCAAATGGTTCAAAGCAACACCAAAACCATAAAATTTGCCGAACACTGAAAATTTACTGATTTTTAAGCGTTCGGAATCGGGAAAATAGCTCAATGTCGCATTTTTTTTCGTCATTTTTCAGCTTTTCTTCTCTTTTTTGCCTTCTTGAGTGCCCAATTTTCGGCGTGTAAATGAATTGCATCTTTTTTTTCTGCGTTTTTGATCTCTCTTTGGATGGCGGTTGAACAAAATCTTTGAAAAATCCTTTGTAAAAAAAATGAATTGTAAATTGAATCTAGTCAATTACCGGGAAAATACTCAAATTTTTTTTTTCTTTTAAATTTGAACTCTTGAACGGAATGAGAGGCTACAAGGTGGAGAGATCAAATCGTTGTCGTGGAGGAGAACGATCTTTGACTTGAAGGATCTTTGACTTGAAGGATCTTTGACTTGAAGGATCTTTGACTTGAAGGATCTTTGACTTATTCTTCTTTAGGGCTTCATTCACCTTTCCCAACTGTCCACTGTATTTGATTGCATTAAGGGTCGTCTTGCTATCAGTACACCACGCCCACCATATCGCAGAAAACGCAGAGCATAAACTTCTTCTGGTGCAAATCGGGCTTTCGGGTCACTTTCGGGTTTCTTTCGTAGTAGGATTTTGGTTTGTGTGTGAGGCAAGTCTGAGACTCAAACATGGAGGGCTTGAAAACTGGAGATGTCCCAGTTTGAGCGCTTTCTTCAAAAGAAACCCATTTTGGTGTCAATAGACAAGTTGTAGAGAATCAAAAATTAGGCTTATAGCCAAATTTCCAAAAAGGTACACTTAGTAGTTTCGCTTAAAATGCAAGTTTTGTTGGAAGTTTTGTGAAAATTCGTAAATTTGGTATTTCTTGAAAACCAGTTTTTGAATCGTTCTGAATATTTGGATATAGGCTTGTTTTTTGATTCTCTACAACTTTTCCATTGACACCAAAATGGGTTTCTTTTGAAGAAAGTGCTCAAACTGTCACATATGACAATAGCCGGCAGTTTTCAATTCCCCAACCCAATATATCGACTATTTTAACGATCATTTGATGAAGGATGAAATAACGCATCGAATGACACCAAAAACAACTTAAAATATAATATTCATGCAAAATCAAATATTGGTCAAAATACGGCTGAAAAAATGAAAAAAAGAGCCGTACAGTAAGGCAGAAAGACAGACAGAAAGACAGACAGAAAGACAGACAGAAAGACAGACAGAAAGACAGACAGAAAGACAGACAGAAAGACAGACAGAAAGACAGACAGAAAGACAGACAGAAAGACAGACAGAAAGACAGACAGAAAGACAGACAGAAAGACAGACAGAAAGACAGACAGAAAGACAGACAGAAAGACAGACAGAAAGACAGACAGAAAGACAGACAGAAAGACAGACAGAAAGACAGACAGATACCGTAACCCCCCCTCCCCCTCCTTTTCCGTCGTTTCATCTGTGAAAATTCGTAAATTTGGTATTTCTTGAAAACCAGTTTTTGAATCGTTCTGAATATTTGGATATAGGCTTGTTTTTTGATTCTCTACAACTTTTCCATTGACACCAAAATGGGTTTCTTTTGAAGAAAGTGCTCAAACTGTCACATATGACAATAGCCCGCAGTTTTCAATTCCCCAACCCAATAGATTGAGATTAGCCTTGATTTGAAGAGAAGTCAATGTCCGAGCGAGTCACTTTTGCAACAGGAGTTCACTTTTGCAACAGTCACTTTTGTCGTGGAGGAGAACGATCTTTGACTTGAAGGGCCTATTCTTCTTTAGGGCTTCATTCACCTTTTCCAACTGTCCACTGTATTTGATTGCATTAAGGGTCGTCTTGCTATCCAGCAACTCCCAATACGCCACGCTCACCATATCCCAGAAAACGCAAATAGCCCGCAGTTTTCAATTCACCAATCCAATATATAATATGCAAAGAAAGATCACTTTTTGCTGTTACTGCATTTGAGAGGAAGACACTCTAATCCAACAAATCAAAGCACGTTTTACAAGAAAGCGATCATCTTTCCCGCAACGGATTTTAAAAACCGATCTTTCGCAAAGTCTAATTTAAAATCTAATACCCTAATGATCCCCGCTGCAATAATAACCCTTCAGTAAAGTGGGACAGCTGTTATCGATGGCAAATGAGAGGGTCTTTTGATAGTCTTTTTGATAGTCTTTTTGATAGATCTTCTCTCCTTGATTGATACTCGACACTGGGTCACTCGATTGCCCCTCGATTGATCACCATTTTCATTCCCATTCGCAAACAAGATGATACTATGCTATTTGTTTCTCTCATTTCTACTATCGGAAGGTAAAAATTGTCTTTTAGCAGTCGATCAAAAGTCTTTTGAATGCCTAATTTGGATGAAAAGTGCTTATCGAGGTCTTGCTTTAAAGCCGTTGCTAAAGCCGAAATGCTATAAAGCAAGACTTTAAAGCCGTTGCTAAAGCCGTTGCTAAAGCCGTAACCAGCCGTCTGCCGGCGAAGCCGTTGCCTGCAGCCGAAGCCGTTGCTAAAGCCGTTGCTAAAACCGAAATGCTTTAAAGCCGTTGTTAAAACCGAAGTTAAAGCCGAAATTCTAAATTCGAAGTGAAAAAGCGACTGATTCCAGTTTAAATCCAGTTTAAATTTTTTTTTTGTTTAAAACATAGAAAACAATTCATTTGATGCAAACTAAGCATGAATTCGATTTCAGTGTCCTCGCTGGGGTGTATTCCTCAAATTTGCGCTGATAACCGGGAAAACCGTTTGAGGGGATGTCCCGATTCGGACGGTGGTTGTGGGCACTATCAAGGCGAGAGGTAGGTTTCGATTCTACGTTTTTAAGTGATTCATTTCAGAAAATTTCAAATTCAAAAGCACTACGCACTGCATAGAAATTGCCTTCTCATAGCGGAGAGTTGAAGTTTTTGTTTGTTTAACATTTAAATCTTTTGCAAAACGGTCGTTTTCCATCAAAATCGGCTTTTTTTTACATAAAAATTGACCCTCTTTCCATAAAAATCGGCCGTTTTACATAAAAATGAATAACCAAATCCAAGAAATTCGGGCTTAAAAAAGAGCTTAAAAGGTTTTAAAGGCTCAGGCTTAGGCTTAGGCTTAGGCTTAGGCTTGAGCTTAGGCTCAGGCCTAGGCTCAGGCCTAGGCTTGAGCTTAGGCTTAGGCTCAGGCTTGAGCTTAGGCTCAGGCCTAGGCTCAGGCTTAGGCTTAGGCTTGGGCTTAGGCTTAGGGTTAGGCTCAGGCTTAGGTTCAGGTTCAGTTTCAGGCTCAAGCTTAGGCTTAGGGTTAGGCTCAGGCTTAGGCTCAGGCCCAGCCTCAGCCTCAGGCTTAGGCTTGGGCTTAGACTTAGGGTTAGGCTCAGGCTTAGGTTCAGGTTCAGGCTTAGGCTCAGGCTCACCCTCAGGCTTAGGCTCAGATTCAGGCCTAGGCTTTGGCTTAGGCTTTGGCTCAGGCTTTGGCTTAGGCTTAGGCTCAGGCTCAGGCTCAGGCTCAGGCTCAGGCTTAGGCTTAGGCTCAGGCTTAGGCTTAGGCTTAGGCTTAGGCTTAGGCTTAGGCTCAGGCTTGGGCTTAAGCTTTGGCTTAGGCTTTGGCTTAGGCTTAGGCTTAAACGCTTAGAAATTCTAGAAACTGAAATCGGCTTAAATTTAAGTCAAGAAACTCCATATGGTTTACTTTAGTGATATCTTGATTTCACGCTAATTTCTAGTCGTTTATTGCTCGATAGAATGAAAAATTCTTTAAATTCTATTACTTGATGCTTATAGGTATTTTATTAAAGTATTTAAAACTATTAAAAATTATTTTTTGCAAAACTTTTCCGCTTCGGCGGAGTCGAACCAGCACCCCCTATCGGAGCCTCGGATTGACCCCCCGCGCCTTAGACCACTCGGCCATGGAATCCATTCAGCCATGGCCATAGTAACACCTGGTTTTTGCCGCTTTTTACATAAAATCGCACAACTTTCGAATAAAACTAGTGTTGGATACGGAAAGAGGGCCTAAAATTACATGCTCTTGCAAATTTTGAGCTCATTTAGTCCACAAGAAGCAGCCGAAACTCAGCATTGAGTCATGCTAAACAATCATTCATTTAAAAGAGCCCTAAATACTAGGGTTATGACTGACTTATGAATGAATTTGGCTCATTTTTGTTTATCCTAAGAACTCGAAGCATTCAGATCTGATGGAGAGATCGTCGACGCAGTGGACATCGTTTGCTCGCGCGGGCAAGTCATTTATGCTCCATTTGACGGTGAAATGTACTACTTTAAACCATTTGGAGGTAATTGGATATTCATTGAATTTAGAAATTAACTTTGTAAGCTTACGAATTTGCTGTAACAATCACCAAAACTTTTTTAGGAGCCGAGGACAAAGAGTGCGCTGATGAGGGAGCTCGAATTGAAGGATCTGGACAATGGCAGGGTAGGCTAAAAATGGAAAAAGAAGGTTTACAAATCCAGAAACTTTCAAGCTTAAAGCTTTTAAGCTTAGAGCTTAAAGCTTAGAGCTTTCAAGCTTTCATAAAGTTAACTTCTATAAATTCTAGGATACGTTGCTCACATCGCTAGCGTCAAACTCGACTTTTATGGTGGCAAAGTGAAGAAAGGAGATCCGATTGGGAAGTGGGTTTAACTGAAGTATAGTTAAACTTGAATGAATGCAATCCTTTTCCTTTAACTTTTCCAGAGCTATCGATCAAGGCTGCACCCTTCCATCCGATCAACGAAGTGCCACTCCGTCGATTGAAATGAAATTGTTCCGCGAAGGGAAACCCGTTGATCCGACGTTTCACCTAAGAGAATGTGAATTTTAAACATAACCTCGTAAGAGTTCTATTCGATTCGGATAGACAATGTAAAATTTAAATTCGATTTGACCGGGCTTGGTTGGTTTTTAATATTCACTCAAGTTCAACCATGAATCTAGAGTTAATGAGGAGTATATATGCTACGTTCGATCTAGAAATTCGTCTGATCTAGACTGATGCTAGATCGGACGTCCGATCTAGAATGAAATGAGGTCAAACGTTCGATCTAGAATCAAGCCGATCACTTTAAATCTGAATCTGAATCGGATGTCTGGTTTAGAGTGATCGGCTTGATTCCAGATCAAATGTTTGACCTCACTTCACTCTAGATAGGACGTCCGATCTAGCATCAGTCTAGATCCGACGGACTTCTAGATCCGACGGACTTCTAGATCCGACGGACTTCTAGATCCGACGGACTTCTAGATCCGACGGACTTCTAGATCCGACGGACTTCTAGATCCGACGGACTTCTAGATCCGACGGACTTCTAGATCCGACGGACTTCTAGATCCGACGGACTTCTAGATCCGACGTAACATATATGTTACGACAGAATCAACTGAATTTTGGATGAAAACATCAAAATATTCAGTTGGATGAATGGATTTATCCTGAATGTGATCGGATCCTGACGACAGAATCCGATCTCGAGGACAGAATCCGATCTCGAGGACAGAATCCAATCCTCAGGACAGAATCCGATCTCGAGGACAGAATCCGATCTCGAGGACAGAATCCAATCCCCAGGACAGAATCCGATCTCGAGGACAGAATCCAATCCCCAGGACAGAATCCGATCTCGAGGACAGAATCCGATCCCGAGGACAGAATCCAATCCTCAGGACAGAATCCGATCTCGAGGACAGAATCCGATCTCGAGGACAGAATCCAATCCCCAGGACAGAATCCGATCTCGAGGACAGAATCCGATCTCGAGGACAGAATCCAATCCTCAGGACAGAATCCGATCTCGAGGACAGAATCCGATCTCGAGGACAGAATCCAATCCCCAGGACAGAATCCGATCTCGAGGACAGAATCCGATCCTCAGGACAGAATCCGATCTCGAGGACAGAATCCGATCCGAGGATAGAATCCGATCTCGAGGACAGAATCCAATCCTCAGTACAGAATCCCACAGTCGTAGCATATATGCAAAAAGCGATATGTAAATAATAGCTTTCGTTTAGTTTTCGCTTTATTTATTGCTTGCTTTTTCTTACAATACTTTTCAGGCATGTGCACTGGTCAGATCTGCGAATCGAACTCGAAAAACACGTTTCTCGGGAATCCGTTCAAGTCCGACAAGTAGGTTAATTAAAGTCAAAAGTTCTCTAAAGTACAGTAACTCTTAATATCTACACATTTCAGACGTTTCAACGGCGTTCGCGGCTGGGATTTGGAGTGTCGAATGGTCGAGGAAGATGGAGAAAGCCCGAAAGCCCCATTGATCTATTCACCGATTGAGGGAGAGGTGAGAAAGTTTTATCTTTCTTCGTTTTATCCCATCAACTCTAGATTTGGCAACAAATCTAGAGTTGCTCTAGAGCTTTTTAATGTTTTTTTCAAACCAGCTCCAGATTCTTACCGCTTAAGGCTTTCCAAAAGGCTTAAGGCTTCAAATCCAAAGCCAGAATTTTAACTTTCAGCTTATTGGCCGCACTCGGCTTGCTTTTGACGCAAACGGAGCGTATTCGGGTTGCGAAAACGATGGGATTTTCATCGTCGGTACAAGGGATTGGGCTGGTTGATTGTATAGAGAATTTTGCAACTTATGTTTAACTTCTAGGCTTCGAAGTTCGTATCTACAACGTTCGGGTCAGAGCCGAGCTCGAGTTTGGGCGGTGAGTTGGCTTGAGTTGCTTGAGTTCATGATTTATCGAAATTCCAGCCAAAACATTATCCAAGGCCAGCCGATTGCTCGACGTCTTTCATGCGAATCGGCGCCCGACTCCGTATTTCTCGAGGTTACGAAAACTTTAAACTTTGCTATGGAATAGTGAGGATTTTTCTGCTAAAAGAAGCTGCTATTATCTGCTGGAGCTGCTATTATCCGCTGGAGCTGCTGATTAGCGTGAAAATTTTTCCCTTTTTCCCTTTACAAACTGATGTACTAAGGAGTCAAATTTGAAATCCGTTTTTATAGAAATTTAAAGCATTTAGGCAAGAACTCAAAAAATATCATCGTTTTGCGTAAATCATATAGCTTTGGTTTGAATACGCAATCTCACCTTTTCCTAGCTAGCCTCACTGCCTAGGCTATCCCACTTAGTCTAAAAGCCGAAGCCAAAGCCAAAGCCAAAGCCAAAAGCCAAGATTGGCCCTGATTCTAAACCCTGGCATTAGCTTTTGTCCTAGTAGGCCTAGTCTTGGTCTGGACTTGGGCTGGTCAAGGAGATCAGAGCCTTCTTGTCACTAATTCCCTTTACTGACACTCGTAGCAGAGCCTTCAAGTCTTGTAAGTTGAATTGAAAATCCCTAATCTTTCATTGTGAGCCTCAATTGTTGCCATATTGATGCTGCTGTTGAGGCTGCTTTTGAGGCTGCTTTTAAGGCTCTTTTGAGGCTGCTGTTGAGGCCCTTTTGAGGCTGCTTTTAAGGCCTTTGAGGCCTTTAGGCTCTTTGGGTGCTTTAAGCCTTTGAGGCTGCTTTTAAGGCTCTTTTGAGGCTGCTGTTGAGGCTGCTTTTGAGGCTGCTTTTAAGGCTCTTTTGAGGCTGCTTTTAAGGCTCTTTCAAGGCTGCTTTTAAGGCTGCTTTTAAGGCTGCTTTTGAGGCTGGCCTGGGTCCGGTTTCAGACTTAGATCTATCAAAATTGACTAAACGTTAGCTGTTTGTATACAGCGCTATTTTTATCAGCTCTCCCTGGTCTTGCCTGGATTTTTCCCTGGTTTTTAGATACCGTATTCTCTCTAATAGTAGTGCACCCTGAGCGTCGCCTAAATTGCTCGAAATCTCGAGAACCGCTTATCAGAACCTATCGATGTGGGGTCGGAAAATGTAGCTAACGAGGCGATCTTGTGGGGGATTTGAGTGTTGAGCTTCTGCAAAAGCTTGGAAACCGTAAAATAGTCACCGACTCGGCTCGCCGATGTGCACTACTATTAGAGAAAATACGGTAAATTCGAACATTCACTTTTATGTTCAAACATTTCCAGATTCGTTACGAGGGCAAAGTGGTCGATGTTTCCGATATGATTTCGGCCAATAAATGTCAATTGCCCGAGGATTTAAAGCTCGCTTGAACTTTGAGACTTTCAGCTCAATCAATCAAATTTTATACTGTTTTTTAATAAATTTTTATAAAAAAATTGTTTCTTCATAGTTTTGATAAGAAAGATTTCAAAAGTGAATCGAAAATTCGAAGTTAAATTTTCGAAAATCTTCCTTATCCAGTTTCAATTGTTCCAGATCGCTTTCTTATTGGAACCGTATTGGAACGGTAATGGAACGGTAATGGAACCGTATTGGAACCGTATTGGTGAAAAATGGAACCGTATTCGGACCGTATTGGAACCGTATTGGAACCTTAAAAGGAACCATATTGGAACCGTATTGGAACCGAATTGGAATCGTATTGGAATCGTATTGGAACCGTATTGGAACCGTATTGGTGAAAAATGGAACCGTATTCGGACCGTATTGGAACCGTATTGGAATAGTGTTGGTGAAAAATGGAACCGTATTGGAACCGTATTGGAGCCTTAAAAGGAACCATATTGGAACCGTATTGGAACCTTAAATGGAACCGTATTGGAACCGTATTGGAATAGTGTTGGTGAAAAATGGAACCGTATTGGAACCGTATTGGAACCGTATTGGAACCTTGAAAGGAACCATATTGGAACCGTATTGGAACCTTAAAAGGAACCATATTGGAACCGTATTGGAACCGTATTGGAATAGTGTTGGTGAAAAATGGAACCGTATTGGAACCGTATTGGAACCGTATTAGAACCTTAGGGAACCATATTGGAACCGAGTGATTGGAGCAAAGGGACCGTATTGGCCGTATTGGATAGTGTTGGTGAAAAATGGAACCGTATTGGAACCGTATTGGAACCGTATTGGAACCGTATTGGAACCTTAAAAGGAACCATATTGGAACCGTATTGGAACCGTATTGGAATAGTGTTGGTGAAAAATGGAACCGTATTCGGACCGTATTGGAACCGTATCGGAACCGTATTGGAACCGTATTGGTGAAAAAGTTTATTTCAAAAAAAAGTTCAGAAACTTTATCACTTTATATCTATTTACAAGAAAATTCGAATCTTTACGATCTAAATAGGATTTTACGGTTTATTTTTATTTTACGGATTTTTCGGGTGGTAGCGACTATCGACGGGGGTGAATTTTTTTGCCCAACTTGCAGCTCATTTTAAACCATCTTAAACTTATCAGATCAAAAAGTTTTAATAGGCTTTAAATAGCTTAGAACGTCAGCTTTCAGAAACTATTTGTTTTATCAAAAGTTGTTAAGAAAAACTCGTCTAAAAGTTTGGTTTCAAGTTGGGCAAAAAAAAAGATTGGCCGCGCGAATCCTCGTTACCCATGCCGTTAATCGTAAAGGTTTAAAAGTTATTTATAAAAAAAAAGGACAATCGAATCTCAAAATGTAAAAATTTGGTTTAATAAAGGAAGAAAAAAAGGATAAAATAGGTTAAAAGGGATAAAAAAGAGCAAAAAAAGAACAAAAAAGAGCAAAAAAAACATTTTGTACACGTATTTTCACAAAGAAATAAGGGAAACTGAGCATTATGCAAATTGCAAAAAGAGGCTTTAAAGTTTTGAAATCGAAATTTTCAAAGAAAGCTTCGAAAGGATCGCTTCTTTACAGTAATCTTTTAAATTTTCGTCTTCTCCGTCGCCAACTCGACCATTTCTCGCATTTCTTTCAGCGAATCAAGAATATGTTTCCGAAAACGAGAACAATTCTAAAAACAATTCTAAAAACAATTCTAAAACCTGTCTTTTAGCAGTTTACTTCTAAAGAAAACCATTTTATTTGAGAATTTTATGAATTTTTGAGTTTTTGAGAGTTTTTGAGAGCTTTTGAATAAACTAAAGCACACTGAAAAAGTTTCTAAAGAAAGTTACAGTGGTTTATGTCAAAAAGGACTGTACTCGCGCCTAGTCGACTACAAACCACTGTAACTTTCTTTAGAATTAATATTAATATATACCGCGCGCTTTTTTTGTCTATTTTGTAGAGGAAAGAACGTTAAAGTTAAAAATTTAGAAGAAAGAACGTTTAGATTCAAAATTACGCAAAACCGCAAAGACTTTTTTCATGTTCTTGAAGTTTTTCTTGACTTGATTTCTCGACTTTCTTGAGTTTTTCTTGACTTTCTTGACAAAAACCACAAACTGTTCACTAAAAACGCTTTGTAACTTGTTTCAAATCTGTCGGATTAAGATGATCTATAGCTTAAAAAATAGAGAATTACAAGAGCTTTTGAATAAACTAAAGTACTCTTAAAAATATCAATTCTAAAGAAAGTTACAGTGGTTTGTAGTCGAGAAGGACTGTACTCGCGCCTAGTCGACTACAAACCACTGTAACTTTCTTTAGAATTGATATTTTTCAGTGTGCTTTAGTTTATTCTAAAGCTCTTGTAATTCTCTATTTTTTAAGCTATAGATCATCTTAATCGAACAGATTTGAACCAAGTTACAAAGCGTTTAAAGTTTACGTTTGTAGTTTGTAGTGTTGATGTCTATTCTTATCTATTATCAACTAACCGTTTCTTGCATTTCCCGCCGACCAGCAATGTGGAATGAGAGGAGATCGCCCGTGGTGGCAATGGTGTAGCAAACTCCTGAAAGACAGAGTCAAAGTCAGAGCAACAGAGTCAGAATTGCGTTTTTTTTTTCAAAAACCCACCATATTTACTTCCATCGGGACAGCAAAAGGCGCCGGCTGGCCAAAAAAGATTTCGTTGCCCATTCAACACTTTCGAATACTCAACCGATTGATGTTGTGGTGTCTAAAGTTTGAAATTCGGTTGGAAATGAGCATTTCTTTATCTTGATTTTATCCTAATTCACTTAAAACAGAGAGAATTTCTCAAATTTCAAGAGTTTCATATCGTACAGCAATCGTTTCTTTAGAGCAAACGTTTCACTAGAGCAATCGTTTCTTTAGAGCAATGGTTTCTTTAGAGCAATGGTTTCTTTAGAGCAATCGTTTCTTTAGAGCAATGGTTTCTTTAGAGCAATCGTTTCTTTAGAGCAATCGTTTACCAAAAAAATTATCGGCTTTGTTGAAGAGATTAAGCGCTCAGCTCAGCATCGACTTTTTACGTTTAAACAGTTTTTCCTTTTGAAAATGATTTGTAAATGAAATTATTTTGTGGAAAATTGTAAAATTTATATAAATTTGCTCACTTGACTTGAGGAAAGGGCGTAGCTCATCGAGAAAACGTTTTCAAGGAATGGAGAAGAGATTTCATAGTATTTCGAGACTACGTACAAGCCGAAAAGATGACGATCCACTCCTGGAAATGAGAAAATTATAGAAAGATTTAGATAAATATATTAGATATTTAGATATTTAGGTCTTTAGATATTTAGATATTTAGTTATTTAGATATTTAACTATTTAGTTATTTAGATATTTAGTTATTTAGATAAATCATTCTCACCTTTTCCAGCCATTGCATTCCGATAATAGTCCTGATGGCGATCGCAGGCAACTTTCAAAAGAGATAATCGCTCCGTCGGCTAAATATTAAAGTCTTTATGCGAATTTATTCACCAATTAGTTTCAAAAAAAGCTATATTTTGGTTACTTTGGTAAACTAGAGTAACTTTTCATTAAAAAGTTCAAATTCACCGTTTCAAATCCACCTCAGAAACGGTAAAATGTCGTATAATTGATTGTTTAAATTGTTTAAATCTCTCACCGTCGTTTTCCCATCAAACATCGATTTGACAAAAGCACAACTGTGATTCGAGCAACTACGAACCGTTTCCGTGCGCCCATCGCGAAACATTCGCATCACAGCTGGTTCATAAGTTAAATCGAAACGACCTTGATCCTGAATAAAGAAAATAATGTCAATGTAATCTTTGATCTTGATTTTGATCTTTGATTTTTCAAGATTTAAAGCATATTTTGATAAAGACATCGCTTGAACTAGAAAACAAAAGAAAGCTAACTCAATTTGATGGGATTTGAGCTTATTTTAGCTTGATTTTAGCTTGATTACCCTAGCAGTAAGGCATAAAATCATCCCTGACAGCAGTGAATCGATTGCGTCGTAGCCTAGTGCTAGAATAGTCGCTTGGAAAGCGAAAGCTTGCCGGTTCAAGTCCCAGCAAAAGAAAAACCCTGTTAAACTCCGATAATTTCTTTTCCTTACCTTGTAATAAGCCATTTGTAGTGCCATTTGAATATAAGCATCTGGAGAAACGCGAGCTTTCTTGATGAAATCTTTTCCGTAATCGAAAAAGACTAAAGCGGCGTTCTCAAGGTTGTCAGCGGCGGCTTTTGAGACGACGAATGCTTCGTCGACGGCGTCAAGGATCTAGAAACTGAATTGCTGAATGCTGAATGTTGAATTGCTGAATTCACAAGCTATACTTTAAGAAACTTTATCAAGTGCAAGATTGTTTCCAGCTTTGAAGCCAGGTCATGAGCCTGGCGATGAGCCAAGCGATACGCGATGAGCCTGGCTTCTGAATCTGCTCTTGCTCTTGCTCTTGGGGACCAAAGCCTGCGCTTTGAGCTGAGCCTGCCTTCTAGCTTTTCTCTCATCTTGTTCTGGCTCTCATTTAACCTGTACTGATTTGACTATGCCGATCCAATCTTTCAACTTAAATTTGGACTATTCCCTTGTTAGATTTAGCGAACTAAGTCCAGATCAGAGCAAAAAAATCTCCAAGGTGACTCGAACCCGAGCAAAAAAAGCTTAACTGGCTTTGGGGCTTGTAGCCTAGCGGATAAGAGGGTTATACAAGCCTCTTATCCGCTTATACAAGCCTCTTATCCTCTAGGCTACAAGCCCATATCGACCACGCCCGAGAAAAGCCTTTTAAGCAAGATGTTGAAAACTTTTATGTCAATTTTGATCTCAACAACCCTCACCTCTTGCTCAAGTTCCCAGTGAAGTCGCTCAGTCGAGGGAACAGTATCGATCTAAAATTGTTAATAAACTCTGGAAGTTTCCTTTCAACTCACCGATCCAGCACAATGCCCATCGGCTTGATAATGTCCCGAGAATTCCTCGTGATATTTGATATACTCTCTGACATGGACATGGATTAACGCATCACAGACCGAGTGCTCGGCGTTTGAAGTGAACTGGAAGCGAACATTAATCGAAAATCTTGAAAAACAATGCTCTAGAATCTTGACAAAACCCTCACTCGTCCATTCTTCGAAACAATCGAGCAAGTCGGTATATCCCACCACAATTTGTAGCCATCACCGGTCAGAGTTCGTTGATATTCGCGCTCATATTTGGTGATGTCATTCTAAAATCGTGGGTTAAAATCTAATAAAGGAAACTGGAAAGGAAACTGGAAGGGAAACTGATAAATAAACAAACAAACAAACAAACTGACAAACAGACTGACAAATAAACTAACTAACTAACAAACCAACAAACAAACTGTTAAACAAACAAACTAACTAAAAAACAAACTAACAAACAAACTAACTAACTAATTAACAAACTAACAAACAAACAAACTGTCAAACAAACAAACTAACAAACTAAAAGACAAACAAACAGACAAACTAACTAACAAATAAACTGACAAACAAACAAACAAACAAACAAACAAACAAACAAACAAACAAATAAACAAACAAACAGACAAACAAACTAACAAACTAACTAACTAATTAACTAACTAACAAACAAACAAACTGTCAAACAAACAAACTAACTAACTAAAAAACAAACAAACTAACAAAATAACCAACAAACAAACAAACAGACAAACAAACAGACAAACAAACTAACAAACAAACCGACAAACAGACAAACAAACTCTTACCTCATCCCACTCCCGAACTTCATCATCGAGATACAATACATCCAAAGCTGTCTCAATCGTTCTCACCGAGGCTCCATTAATTCCTAAAGATCAAATATTCAAATAATCTTTTTCCTAATGTCAATTTTACCTTTCGTGAAATGTTTTTCCTTGATTTCAGCCCAAAAATCCCGAGAGCAACCGGTCAAAGCGCCCAAATAGGCTTCTCCCTTCACTGGCTCTTGAGGATGATCAATGATATTTTGAAGAACTCTAAAAGTTATACACAGTTAAATAAGCCCACAAAACATGGCTCTTCTCTGTTAAAGTCTAAATTCTATCTTGTGTCCTTGTTATTTCTATTTTGCTTGATTTTGCTTGATTGCTATTTTGATATTTCTATTTTGCTTGATTACTTGATTCCGTTCAATTTTTCTTCAAATTAGAGAAAATTTCATTATTTCTGATCTTCTTTTGATCATTCTACTTCCTTGCATTCTTTCTTTTATTCTTTCTCTTATTCTTTCTCTTATTCTTTCTCTTATTCTTTCTCTTATTCTTTCTCTTATTCTTTCTCTTATTCTTTCTTTTATTCTTTCTCTTATTCTTTCTTTTATTCTTTCTTTTATTCTTTCTTTTATTCTTTCTTTTATTCTTTCTTTCATTTTTCTCATTCTTTCAATTTTTTATGTCACAAAAAGCCTTTTAACGATAAATCTTTTAAAATCTATCAATTTCTATTAACACAAATCATTCTTGATTCATTTTTTATTATTGTTTTGGTCAATTTTATTGTTTGACATGAAATTATTTGAAAACGATTTTTGGAAGAGATTTGCTCATAGATTCAATATAAATTCAACCAAAGTCTAACTACAGGATGACCAAGAATTACCGCAACACACAAAAGGCCTGGCTTTTAACCAAATATGCAATCCATCTCGAAAAGTTAACTTAAATATCTTTATTCAACATATAACAGTAAAAAAAAATAAATTAACAATTAAATTCAAATTTGCCTCCATCGGCATTCAGACAGGCCTGCAAACGTTTGGGAAACGCGTTGACCGTTGAAAAACGCACCGTGGCGAGCAAATAGGCATCATCAAGGGTATCCCATACTTTGATGAGGGCCTTCTTCAAACATTCGATATTTTTATGTGGTTGCGCAAATGCCCTGGCTTCAAGAACACTCCAGACTGAGTAATCCAATGGGTTAAGATCGGGTGAGCTGGGTGGCCACTCAGAAAACGAGATGAAGTCCGGGAAGGTCTTTGAACAAAACTCTTGCACTTTCTTTGCCTTGTGAGCCGGCGCACCATCTTGGTGATAAGTCCAAATTCGATTTTTGAAGTGGCGTTGAGCCCACGGAACAACCTCGTTCTTTAGCAAGTCTAAATAATTGACCGCATTTACTTTCACACCTTGAAGAACAAAGATCAACGGGGTCTTTCCATTGACGGTTATCCCGGCTTGACGGAGTAACCGCTGTTCGTTTTGCATCTCTTTCAGGGCGATCAGATCCCTGGATCGATTAGAAACTGTGCCCAGAGTTTCATAACGTTGAATGGTTCGAGAAACGAGGAGATAGACATAGACATTCTGGGAACATTCAGGCGTTTAAGAGCTCGCTCGCTCGCTGCTCGCCTGAACGCGCTGTCGCTTAAGCTCAAGGATCGATTGTCGATGTGGAGACGCTTTCACCATTCCTAAAAACAATCATACTAATGTATTGAAAGTTAGTAATCATACCATAAAATAAGAAAAATACACAAAAACCATAAAAACAGGTAAACAAAAAGTGAAATGGGGCTCATAAAATAATACGACGTTGTTGCGGTAATTCTTGGTCACCCTGTAGTCATTAAACCACCAAAAACCAAAACCCTCCAAAAAATCAATCAAACTAAGTAAAATACATTTATAAACATCTTAAATTTAACTAAATTTAACTAAATTTAATTTAACTAAATTTAATTTAACTAAATATTATTAAACAGATCATTACTCACTTTTCCAATTCAGCAGCTCGAAGCAAGCGTTTTCCGGTGTAAACCGGGACTTTATACCAAGCTCCATTGTGATTGACGACAATGTGTTTAGCGTCAGGCAAACGTTCCATTACATCTAAAAATAAACAATAAAATTCAATTAGAACAATGTAGCTAAATCTATTGATAGCTATTGCTTAAAAATTGTAGATTTAAAATCTTTTTAAAGTCTCTGCAGACCAAAATCTCATCAATTTCCATCTTAACAAAAATAAAATCGCTTTTTCTCCTCACTTTTATTAACATTTTTGTAATTTGCATTCAATTTCGATCATTTAATTTATAAGAATCAAAAAAAAACTGACCACTTGTGTGTTTTGGATGTCTTAATGAGCGATTATAGTCGATGTACTGAGTGGGGCACATTGGGATAGGGCCAAGACCAATCTGAAAACAAGATCCTTCTTTTCCTTCTTCTTTTCTGAAAACAAGATCCTTCTTTTTCTTTATTCCTTCTTTCTTTCTTTCCTTCTTTTCTTTTCCTCTAAAACTTTCTAGGATTATTACAAAGCCAGGTCTGCCTAGAGCTAGATTTGGATCTGTTCCTAGCCTTGTCTAGACCTAGATCTGGACCTGTTCCTAGCCTTGTCTAGACGTAGATCTGGATATGTTCCTAGCCTTGCCTAGACCTAGATCTCGACCTGTTTCTAGCCTTGCCTAGACGTAGATCTGGATCTGTTCCTAGCCTTGCCTAGACGTAGATCTGGATCTGTTTCTAGCCTTGCCTAGACCTAGATCTCGACCTGTTTCTAGCCTTGCCTAGACCTAGACCTAGATCCATAACCCAACAGACTAGCCAAGTCAGACTTGTCTTGTCCTGTCCTCTCCTGGACCATGGCCTGAACCTGGCAGGTCTGGTTTAGGCTTAGATCATGAACTAAAATTCAATTCATAATCGATTTCCAGATCATATTACATCTGTAAGCTTTCAATGAATCACTTACTGGTTTCATCTTTTGCGTCTCATGCGCCTCATGAAGGAAATGAATTCGAAGAAGAGTTGTCACCGCTCCACGAGCCGCTTGGATTGTCGTTGGTTGTCTAAATCAATATTTTTAATCTTCTTTATACTATATGATTCTAAAAGCAGTGTATGTTTGTCTGTTTTCCCGAGAACCATCCCGGAATGAAAGAGAGAATAAAAATTACCGATTTCTTTGCGATTTTTGATTAAATGCAAATTTTGATGATATGTAAATGTTTAAAAACGTTGTAAATTTCCTATTTGGATGCTTATTTTTCTAATAAAGATGGTCTGTAAGTGCAAGAAAGCTCAAGAAAGCGCAAGAAAGCTTAGGAAAGCGCAAGAAAGGGCAAGAAAGCTCAAGAAAGCTCAAGAAAGCAATAGATGAATCGGAGAATCTCCTTCATTAGGCTCAAATCAGGCTTGTTAATCTAGAGTTTCTATTTTACACAAAACTCACTTAAAAATGATATCCGCACTGGCGACATTCGTGTAAATCAACGAGTCTCGTCCCCGCATGTACACCACTTCTTTCCACCAGTCGCTTACCTGAGATTATTGAATTGAAAACAGAAATTCTTTAGACAAAAGATTCAATTGAAAGATCTAATTGAAAGATCTAATCAAAAAATCAACTAGCTATTCAACTAGATATTCAACTAGCAATTCAACTAGACATTCAACTAGATATTCAACTAGAGATTCAACTAGAAACTCAACTAGAAACTCAACTAGCCATTCAACTAGCTATCCAACTAGATATTCAACTAGATATTCAACTAGATATTCAACTAGAGATTCAACTAGATATTCAACTAGATAATCAACTAGATATTCAACTAGATATTCAACTAGATATTCAACTAGATATTCAACTAGATATTCAACTAGATATTCAACTAGATATTCAACTAGATATTCAACTAGATATTCAACTAGATATTCAACTAGATATTCAACTAGATATTCAACTAGATATTCAACTAAATATTCAACTAGATATTCACCGAGATATTCAACTAGCTATTCAACTAGATATTCAACTAGCTATTCAACTAGATATCCAACTAGATATTTAACTAGATATTCAACTAGATATTCAACTAGCTATTCAACTAGATAATCAACTAGATATTCAACTAGATATTCAACTAGATAATCAACTAGATATTCAACTAGGAATTCAACTAGCTATTCAACTCGATTCCTATAAAGCCATATTCTAACACTCACCCAATTCGGACTGATCATCCACTTCATCCACAATTTATTCTGCAACTGTGAAGCGACTCCGCTTTTCTCGAACTCGTTCGCTTGTTGGCAAATCAAATCGTATTGTTCTTTTGAGAGAAATGATTGAACTGATTCGAGATACTGAAATTTTCGAGATACTCAAATTTGCATACCTACTGCATCAAATTAAACCTTTGGAATCGTATTCTTTAGGCTTGGAATTGGTAGCCATGGAAGAAGGTTACGGTACGAGAGGAAATTCGCGTTTTTGTTGATCGTTGTGATGATGAGCTAAAGAGTTGAGGTGGAATTTTGACTTTTTTTGACTTTTTTGGTCATCTCACCAAGAATAGTTTTGTCGATAGGCTTGGCGGTTTGCCGATTTCCTCGAAAAGCCATCCATGATAGTACAACATAATTGTCAACGAGAGGCGAACGAGGAAAACGAAAGTGATCAATGTGGGCAACATCACCAAAGTGAAGGAAATCATTTGAGAGGTGAGTGAAGAGCTGAGAATTGATTGGGGTTTTTGGGGGTTTTTGGAAACCAGGTCAAGACCTAGGTTAAAGATACAGGCTTACAGTAAAAGAAGGCTACAGTAAGGCTTCTAATTTAGCCTTGGTCTTTATCTTGCCAGTGCGCCCCTTTTCCCATTGGCAATCCAACTTTGAGCTCAAATATCTTGGTTTTGGGCTGTCCAATTTCAAACTTCTTTGTATCATTGGATTTGCCAAGCCTTTCTCTATCGATTGGTACAAAAACTGTTCCAATTGAAAAGCCCAACACAAAGATATTTGAGTTCAAAGTTGAGTTGCCAATGTCAAAAAGGGGCGGGGCGACGGACCGTTTATACGCTGTCCAATTTCAAACTTCTTTGTATCATTAGATTTGCCAAGTCTTTCTCTATCGATTGGTATAAAAACTATTTATTTTGAAAAAGTCAACAAGAAATTTGAGCTCAAAGTTTGCCAATGGCAAAGGGGGCGGGGCTAGTATAAAAGGTACATCGTCCCGCCCCTTTTCCCCTTGCCAGTCTAACTTTGAGCTCAAATTTCTTTGTGTTGAGCTGTCCAATTGGAACAGTTTTTGTACCAATCGATAGAGAAAGACTTGGCGCATCTAATGATATTAAAAATATTGAAATTGAACATTCCAACACAAAGATATTTGTGTTCAAAGTTAGATTGCCAATGGCAAAGAAGCGGGGCTTTCACAATCACCTTTATTGGTTCAAATAGCTATTGATGGGTCCAACCAGCTATTTATGGGTCCAAATAGCTCAAGCCAGGCCAAGCCAGGCCAACCCAGGCCAAGCCAGGCCAAGCCAGGCCAAGCCAGGCCAAGCCAGGCCAAGCCAGGCCAAGCCAGGCCAAGCCAGGTCCAGAACAGCCTAACTTAGTCCAAACCAAGCTTTAACTCAAACTCAAACATCTCACCTGATCGCCGTGCTGGCAAACTCGTTGACAAACTCAATTGGAGTGTTGAGCGGGGAGACACCAAGTGAGTACAACAAAGCCATCAAAGCGGTGATATAGATGAGAGCATTCGGGGTCAACGGGAAGATTGAGTTCTTGAAGATTAACTAAAATGCGAGCTTTTTAAGTGAGGATTCAGATTTTGGCTATGATTGAAGCGTGACTCTAGAGAAATTCCGATCGAGCTTTAAAGACGAACTCAATTGTCAATGGTCGTCAAGTCAGAAGGCTCAATTGTCAAGCTAGGCTAGGAAATCGATCAGAACAAGAGATCCATTTTGTAAACAAGATGAAGGTCGATTTTGTAAACAAAATAGAGATTAATTTTGTTCATTTTATCAAAATTTCTTATTTTTTTTAATGTCTACTTTTAGAAATCTGGATTTTTGACAGATTTCTGACCGATTTTTGTCATTTTTGTCATTTTCATTTTGATCTTTTAAAGATTTCAAAGCTTTTAGCTAAATTTTACAACTTTTGAAATGAAAATTGTTCTTTTGAGGCCTTTCTTTTTTGAGGTAAACTTCCCGATTTCTCATTTCTTTATCTCGTTTCATAAAAATCAAAGGTTTTCGGGTTGAAATGGCCATTATTTTACTTGATCTTTATCTTTAATTGATCAGAAATGAAAAAGAATGAAAAAGAATTGAAAAAAAAAGCGTTCTCGAGACGGCCTTTTTATCGCTTATTGAGATTTTTACCAATAGGAAAAGGGAAAGCGCGTAAAAGTTGGAGGGATTTTCGAGTGATGCGTTTAATTGCTTTAATCTCTAGCAGTTCAGCTTGATAGCTGAGCTCAGCTTTGTCAGTGCAAAATTGACTAACTGAATTACAAGAGTACAGTCACACTTGAAAGCAACAACAGCTCTAAAGCAACAACAACTCTAAGGCATCACAGCTACCATCACCTGGCTCTAATTCTAATTCTTCTCTAATTTCTCCCAGAAACTTTGTCTTAATCAAATCCTTTTGCTTAAATCTCTCGCAGCTCTTAATCAAGAAACTTTTACGGTAAAAAGAAAGTCGATTTTGAGTTTAAGTCAGTCAGTCAGTCAGTTTTAGTCAATCAATCCGTCAATTTTCATCAATTTTCCTCAATTTTCATCAATTTTCATTCAATTTTCATCAATTTTCCTCAATTTTCATCAATTTTCATTAATTTTCGTCAATTTTCGTCAATTTTCGTCAATTTTCATCAATTTCAAAGAAAATACTCAAATAAAAGTTTAAAACACGAATTTCTTATTAAATCTCACCTCATATTTGGGTAATTTTTTCAAATATCGTTTCACATTCACCTCGTACGACAGTTTCGTTGGAGAGGCCATCACCTAGAAAATTGGAAAATATGAAAAAAGAAATGGCTAATGATTTAGAATCGAAGTAAACACAAAAAAAAGACAGAGAAAAGACAAAAAGGCAAAAAAAAAGACAAAAACCAAGTAAACTTTCATCAAATTCTTTAAAAAATTGATCATTTTAAGCATAAATTATCAAGGTTTAAAGTATCAAATGGGATTCTGAAGGCAATAGCTTTGAAAGTAAACAATGAGTGATCTTGATGAGGAGGATGATAGTTTCTAATGTCTAAATGATAGCTTTTAGTGTCTTACATAGCTTCTAATGTCTAAATGATAGCTTCTGATCTCTTTCATAGCATCTAATGACTAAATGATAGCTTCTAGTGTCTTTCTAATGTCTAAATGATAGTTTCTAATGTCTAAATGATAGCTTCTGATCTCTTTCATAGCATCTAATGACTAAATGATAGCTTCTAGTGTCTTTCTAATGTCTAAATGATAGTTTCTAATGTCTAAATGATAGCTTCTAATCTCTTTCATAGCATCTAATGACTAAATGATAGCTTCTAGTCTCTTTCTAATGTCTAAATAATAGTTTCTAATGTCTAATTAATAGCTTCTAATGACTAAATGATAGCTTTTAATGTCTTAGATAATTTCTAATGTCTTACATATCTTCTAATCTCTTTCATAACTTCTAATGTCTAAATTCCATGCAATTCAGAGAATTCGAAATTAAAGAATGCCACCTTTCACCCAAAAGATGCAAGTAGTCTAATCCGTTATCAATTTTATTGAACTTTACTGTAATCATGTAAAAAAACTGAAGGAAATAGATAAGAGAACTGGAAAAGAGCCAAAGTAGAGAAGACAATTGGAATTTTGGTTTGGTTTTACTTGCGTCAAAGCTTTCACAGAAGCCAGTTCAAGATCAATAAAATAGCAAATTTGGAGACAAAAACAAATGGGTTATTTGATGTCTGTCTGTCTGTCTGTCTGTCTATCTGTCTGTCTGTCTGTCTGTCTGTTGGTCTGTCTGTCTATCTATCTGTCTGTCTGTCTGTCTCATGTCTGCGCAATTGAAATTAGTCAAGCAGATCAGGCAGGTCCAGGTCAAGTAGACCAAGCCAAGCCAGGCAGATCCAGATCAAGATTTCAATAAAAGCTAAGCAGAGCAGGTAGACAAATCAAGCCAGGTTCAAGCTTTGATCTTGACTTGGTCTTGTACACTTTCCATTTGTTCCTGGATCTAGACACCTGGACTTGGTCCTAAGCCTAAGCCAGATCCAGGGTTGACCTGGAAAAACCTGGCGTCTACGCTGAGCCAGCTGGAATTTAAGTACTGTAAGTACTAGATAAACGCAAATCTAAAGCCAGCAGCTAAATCCTTGCTCAACAACTGAGACAACGAGATTTCAGATAAAAGATCAGGACTTAAATGTAGTTGGGAAGGAAAAAATCTTAGAGACTAGGTAGAGGAAAGCTATCTCACAGTTAGAACAAAAACCATAGCTGTTTTCGGCTTCAGTGCATAGAGGCATTGATCAACACTGAGATAGGCGTTGGCTTTAGACCAACGATAGCTATTCAAAGCTTTGATCAACACTGAGATAGGCGTTGGCTTTAAACCAACGATAACCATCCAAAGCTTTGATCAACACTGAGATAGGCGTTGGCTTTAGACCAACGATAGCTATTCAAAGCTTTGATCAACACTGAGATAGGCGTTGGCTTTAAACCAACGATAACCATCCAAGGCTTTGATCAACACTGAGATAGGCGTTGGCTTTAGACCAACGATAGCTATTCAAAGCTTTGATCAACACCTGAGAGACACTGAGCTTTCAAAAGTCTAGAAAAAAAAACTGATAAATCCATATGGGTTGGGGAGTGCGCAAGGTGAGTGAATCCAAGCATCTCCCAGCATTCTGTTCTCCACGAGGTGTCCCCTCCCTTTTCAGAGACTCGATTCAACCAATCTTTCGCTCTTTCATGTCTCCTCCTCTTTCCCAATGTCTCTTCTTTAGGGTCAAAGTCCGATCAGAGTGCAGAGTGGACAGAGTGCAGGACGGAGAAAGACATCTAGAGAATAGCCAGAGAATAACCAGAGAATAGCCAGAGAATAGCCAGAGAATAGCCAGAGAATAGTCAAAGAAAGAGAGCAAAAAAAAACCCCCATTTACATGAGCATTTTGGAGGGAAAGAGCTTTTTGAACAGTTTTTTTGAACGAAATAGGAAATAGAGAAGCTATTAAAGCTTTCAAAAGGGGAAAAGTTCAGAAACTTTAAGCGTAACAGTCTCTAAACTCTTTTAAGTAGTAGGATTTTCTGCTTAAAATCAATAGGTACTTAATCAAAATTTGTAGACTCAAAATCAATACTAAAAATGAAGCATGCGGAATCGAACCCTCGATCTATTCAACTAGAATCAAGAGCTTTACCATTGCGCCAACGGGGAGCAAAAGTTTGTACCAAAAATGGGAGAGCTTTATCAAACAGGAGCGTCTTTATCAAACCGAAGCGGATAAAGGCAGCTTTCTTTGCGTAGGCGTAGTGGTCCCACTTGGGGCAGTGGTGAAGCTCTTGATTCGCGCCCGATTCCAGGAGGCTGGGTCGAGGGTTCCATTCCGCTTACTCCACTTTTTCGACTCCGACTACTTTTTGTACACATTTTTACATCAGTTTTTCACCAAATTCTCCCATAAATTCTTTCGTAGTTCATTTGTACTTCAGCTTGACAAACAAAAGCGAGAAAATGATTCAAGATCAAGAATGATCAAGAATGATCAAGAATGATCCAAGAATGATCAAGAATGATCCAAGAATGATCAAGAATGATCAAGAATGATCCAGAATGATCAAGAATGATCCAGAATGATCAAGAATGATCAAGAATGTCCAGAATGTCCAGAATGATCAAGATGATCCAAGAATGATTCAAGAATGATCAAGAATGATCAAGAATGTCCAGAATGATTCAAGAATGATCAAGAATGTCAAGAATGATCCAAGAATGATCCAAGAATGATCAAGAATGATTCAAGAATGATCAAGAATGATCCAAGAATGATCAAGAATGATCAAGAATGATCCAGAATGATCAAGAATGATCCAAGAATGATTCAAGAATGATCAAGAATGATCAAGAATGATCCAAGAATGATCAAGAATGATCAAGAATGATCCAAGAATGATCAAGAATGATCCAGAATGATCAAGAATGATCCAAGAATGATTCAAGAATGATCAAGAATGATCAAGAATGATCCAAGAATGATCAAGAATGATCAAGAATGATCAAGAATGATCCAGAATGATCCAGAATGATCAAGAATGATCCAAGAATGATTCAAGAATGATCAAGAATGATCAAGAATGATCCAAGAATGATCAAGAATGATCAAGAATGATCCAGAATGATCCAGAATGATCAAGAATGATCCAAGAATGATCAAGAATCATCCAAGAATGATCAAGATGATTCAAGAATGATCCAAGAATGATCAAGAATGATCAGACTAAATGTTTCCCCAAATCCTTGACCCTTCCTATCTCACTTGTTTACAAATTTCACGGGGAAAAACTTTGTTGATCACCTTGAAACGGGCTAGCTAATAGTGTGAAGGAAAATCGAAATCTTTGTTTTATTCTTTAAAAAAATGTGTTTACGAGATTTTCTGCAGAAATGATCGTTTGGGTATTTTGAGAAATTTCTGTGAAACGGTTTGTTTTTTTTCTGTTAAACAAGAATGAAAATGAGGGGGTAGGGGAAAATGCAAAGCCAAAAACGTTGCAAAAAAATGAGCCAAATCACAAAAGATAGCTAGTCTTTTGAGGACAAAACACTTTCTAAATGGCTTTATAATTGGCTAGAGTACCGTAGATATTCGATAAAATTGGCTAGTACTGTAGAAATCTTGATATAAGACATTTAATCATCAAGTTCTTTGCGTCTCCCCACTTTCCCTCGATCAGTCTCGGTGGCGGCTGCACGAGTGAGCTTCACGGCTTCATGAGCGAGCTTCACGGCTCTTCACCAGCTTCACGGCTCTTCACCAGCTTCACGGCTCTTCACCAGCCTCACGGCTCTTCACCAGCTTCACGGCTCTTCACCAGCTTCACGGCTCTTCACCAGCTCCACGGCTCTTCACCAGCTTCACGGCTTCATGAGCGAGCTTCACGGCTCTTCACAAGTGAGCTTCACCGCTTCAGAAGTGAGCTTCACCGTTCACAAATGAGCTCCACCGCTTCACGAGTTACTCTCTGAAACTTTGAAGTTATAAAGATTCAGAAGCTTATCTTACCTTTGGATCATAATTTAGCACATGTCGAAACGGGCAGAGCTCTTTCGCGAATGAGCTGACCGGGAAGTACCTGGGACTTAATAAATTAAATAATAAATTGGCTTAATAAATTTGAAATTTGAAATCATTTCCTTACTTGTTCAGTTTTCGCATCCACATTGCATTGGTAAAGGTAAAATGAAAAAGTTTTCAGATATTTTTGTCTGAATTTACTTTACAATTCTGCTTAAAAAGGGAAATCCTTGGCACAAACTAGAGCGATGAACTTTAAACGAGTTCGACGCAGAATTTTTAGGTTAATTTTTCTTTTGACCTTTTCCACTATCATCTTTGTTTCAGTTTTAGCTTAAAATTTAGTAAAAAGTGACTATATTTAGACGGAGTTTAAGCCAGAGTGTAAGCCAGATTTAGGCCAGAGTTTAAGCCAGAGCTTAAGCCAGATTTAGGCCAGAGTTTAGCCAGAGTTTAAGCGAGAGTTTAAGCCAAAGTTTAGCCAGAGTTTAAGTCAGAGTTTAAGCCAGATTTAAGCCAAAGTTTAGCCAGAGTTTAAGCAAGAGTTTAAGCAAAAGTTTAAGCCAAAGTTTAAGTCAGAGTTTAAGCCAGATTTAAGCCAAGGCTTAGCCAGAGTTTAAGCCAGAGTTTAAGCCAGAGTTTAAACCAAATTTTGACTAGACAATAAAAAAACCTAGGGAAAACCCGTTATCTGGCCTAGAATATAACAGAAGCAACAGTTTCCAGCTGCTAACGCAACTACTATGGGTGGAGGTCTCACGTAAATTTATAATCCTTGTTCTCGTGCCAATCGATAATCATATTGTCTTCGTAAGCAGGAATCTTTTCGACTAATTTCGACTTTTCTAATTATCTAAATATAGAAGATATCAGTGTTCCATTCGTTTTAGGGCAAAGTCCGGGAGTTTGAATTGAACAACAAACGGTTTCCCGATCTCTACACGTTTTCTTTCCAAATAACTAACAGTTTACTCTTTTCAATTCAAGTCGCAAATCATTTCAAAGTGTTGTCTGTGATTGACTGTACTGTAGAGAAGAGGGCAATCTCTGGCTAAAGGAAGAGACGGGGTCGAAGTCCGTCGAGAGTCCAGAATGGGATGGGTGAGAAGGGGAATGGGTAGACAAGGAGAGGAAATGATGAAAAGCGAAACACTTGACACAAGAACTATCATTTTCGGGGAAAAAGAAAAGAGTAAACTGAGAGAAATCAGGGTTTTTGAGTCGAGTACCGAGTTTTTGAAACTAATAAAGTACCGAAAAAGCTGTGAAACGAAAGCTTTACTTTACTGAAGCTAAAATCATCAGAGCTGAAAGATAAAGGCAAGGCTAGGCAAGTCAAGCTAGGCAAGGCAAGCTAGGCAAGTCAAACTAGGCAAGGCAAGCTAAGCAAGGCAAGCTAGGCAAGTCAAGCTAGGCAAGGCAAGCTAGCCAAGCCAATCTAGCCAAGCCAATCTAGCCAAGCCAAGCTAGCCAAGACAAGCTAGCCAAGCCAAGCTAGCCAAGTCAAGCTAGCCAAGCCAATCTAGCCAAGCCAAGCTAGCCAAGACAAGCTAGCCAAGCCAAGCTAGCCAAGTCAAGCTAGCCAAGCCAAGCTAGCCAAGTCAAGCTAGCCAAGCCAAGATAAACTATCGTCAAACCAGAACGTCAAACCGTCAAACCAGATCCATTTCCCCATTTCCTCGGTTTTCTTCAGAAAACCGACCCAAATCAAGCTGAAAACTAAGCCAAAAACAAAAAGCTACAGCGTTTTAATCGTTTTAATCGTTTTAATCATTTCATTTGATCCATTTCAAAACCAAAAGTTGAACAGAAGACTTACCGGAAAAAAACGGTGCTTTCTCTAACTCCACCGCAACTCTTTTACTTCAACTTTTCCTCTTTTACTCTTCTTTTACTTGTAGTATACCAAGCACAAACTTTTCTGGTTTCCTTGTACTCCATTTTATTGGAATTTTCTCAAAGTACTATAGTTTTATGTTAACGAAATGGGTAAATGAATGGTAAACTTCGTTTTCTATGACATTTAATGTGTTTTTCCATTTTCTGCCCTTTGAAATTTTGTTTATTTTCATTTTTTATCAACAACTTTCCCACTTTCTCAATCATTCATACTGTTAAAAACGAAAATAAAAACAGGAAAAAAAACTATTTTGATGTCAGGGAAAGCGACCTTTATCCCTAAGCACTTTTTTCGATCATTTGAGCATAAATTCTTTTGGAAATCTGAAAAGATTGACTCAAAAATGCGAAATAAGGGGAAAAAGAAATAGGGAAATGGGAATTTTTGAAACTGCTGAGATTTTGAGAGCTTCCTGGCCTAGCTTCCTGGCCTAGCTGCCTGGCCTAGCTTCTTGGCCTACAGCTTCTGGCCTACAGCTTTTGGTCTACAGCTTTTGGTCTACATCTTCTAGCCTACAACTTCCTGGCCTACAGCTTTTGGCCTACAGCTTTTGATCTACAGCTTTTGGTCTACAGCTTCTGACCTACAGCCTCCTGGCCTACAGTTTTGGTCTACAGCTTCTGGCCTACAGCCTCCTGGCCTACAGCTTCTAGCCTACAGCTTCTGGCTTACAGCCTCCTGGTCTACAGCCTCCTGACCTACAGCCTCCTGACCTACAGCTTCCTGGTCTACAGCTTTTGGCCTACAGCTTCCTGGCCTAGAGCTACTAGCCTACAGCTTCTGGCCTACAGCTTCCTGGCCTACAGCTTCTGGCCTACAGCTTCCTGGCCTACAGCTTCCTGGCCTAGAGCTACTAGCCTACAGCTTCCTGGCCTACAGCTTCCTGGCCTAGAGCTACTAGCCTACAGCTTCCTGGCCTACAGCTTCCTGGCCTACAGCTTCCTGGCCTAGAGCTACTAGCCTACAGCTTCCTGGCCTACAGCTTCCTGGCCTACAGCTTCCTGGCCTACAGCTTCCTGGCCTACAGCTTTCTGGCCTACAGCTTCTGGCCTACAGCTTTTAGTCTACAGCTTTTAGTCTACAGCTTCTAGCCTACAGCTCTTGGTCTTGGTATTTTGGCCTGGCTTGAGCTGTTTCGGAAAAAATCCTGGATAGTTCGGTGGTTAGAGCAAAAGCTTTTCTGGTTGCCTGGTAAGCAAAAGGTCAAAGGTTGAATCCGCTCTCCGGAAATCTGCGACCTTTATCTCTAAGCACTTTTTTTCGATCATTTTCGCACAAATTCTTTTGGAAATCTGTTTGAAATCGGAAAAGATTGACTCAAAGATTCGAAAAATTCGAAATAAGGGGAAAAAGAAAGAGGGAAATGGGAATTTTTGAGTCTGCTGAGATTTTGAGAGCTAGAATTGCATGGATTTCAATTTCCAATTGATTTCCAATCTAAATTTTAATGAGATTTTAAATGTTTAAACTTTTAAACAACTTTACACATGGCAATTTCCAATCTTCGACTACTCTTTACAACTCAAACTACTACTCAAAATTATTTACAATTAAAAAAAAACCGTCTCAACCTTATGATTGTTCGATATTTTTTTGGGGAAAAATCGGCCTTTCGACTTTTCGACTTTTCGACCTGTCCACCTTTCATTTCTGTCTCGTTTTTTTTCGTTTTTTCATTTCTAATCAACTTTCCCATGCTTCTTATCGCTCTCACAGGTCCAAAGGTCTATTTTAAGAGAAAATTTCGATCACAAAGTTTCAAAAGAATCCAACTAAAACCCGACTCAATATGGGATCAAAATTTTGAATTTTTAAAAAAACAACAGTTCAATTGTTCAATAAATAGCTTGTTCAATCAATATAGATCAATTTAAAACTGAAACTGAATCGGAATTCCCTTTTGAAACTTCTGAAACTCCTCCTAAAGCTTCTTTCAACACTTAAAGAAGTAGGCCAGGAAGCTGTCGGCCAAAAGCTGTAGGCCAAAAGCTGTAGGCCAAAAGCTGTAGGCCAAAAGCTGTAGGCCAGGAAGCTGTAGGCCAGAAGCTGTAGGCCAGGAAGCTGTAGGACAGGAAGCTGTAGGACAGGAAGCTGTAGGACAGGAAGCTGTAGGCTAGAAGCTGTAGGCCAGAAGCTGTAGGCTAGAGGCTGTAGGCTAGAGGCTGTAGGCCAAGCTAACATCTTCATCTACAGATTCGATTTCTAAAAGACTTCTTTAGTTAAAGCTTTAGTTGGTAAAGATTTCAAAAAGAAAGCTTGTTTAAGCAATTCAGATAATTTTTCCTAGATCAGGGCCAGTCTAGCGACCAGACTTTTTGTCGGCTTGGATTACTATCAGAAAAAGCCGTGGGTTAGATAATGGCTTACAGCTTCTAGCCTACAGCTTCTAGCCTACAGCTTCTGGCCTAAAGCTTCTGGCCTAAAGCTTCTGGCCTATCAAGAACAAGAACAAAAACTATCAATTAGGTTGTTCGGATATAAACAAGCGTTGCTAAACTTATGAGAGAGCCATTGGAAAGACGCTCAGAGTTGTGAGAGAAGCTTTTAAAATATGAGATGAGAAGTGGATCCATGTCGATAATACTATTCGAAAAATGAAATGACTAGGACCAGGAGAACGGCCAAATCGCCGGCCAAACGGCCAAATGAAACCGGACATTCATGGGAAAAAGATCATGCTCTCAGTATGGTGGAATAACAAGGTCCTTGTGTATTTCGAGCTTCTACAAACCGGCCAAACAGTCACATCCGACCTCTACAAACAGCAACTTGATCGGGTCAATGAAGTTCTCATTCGTCAAGGAGTAGACACATCAAAGATAAAGTTCATCCATTACTATTCGAAAACGGAAATGGCCTGTCGTGTTAAACAAAATGTTAAGCGATTTCAACTCTGATTTTAACAATTTCAACTCAATCATTAAGAATCAGAGCTCTTTGAGAAACGATTCTATCAAATTTTCTATCAAAATGAAAATCAAAAACTCTGGAAAGACTCTAGAAAAAAAATCAAACTCCGTCTTCACCGACTACAGGATTCTGGCTGTTGGCTTGACTTTCTGGCTGCTGTGGCTTGGCTTTCTGGCTGTTGGCTTGACTTTCTGGCTGCTGTTGGCTTGGCTTTCTGGCTGCTTGGCTTGGCTTTCTGGCTGCTTGGCTTGGCTTTCTGGCTGTTGGCTTGGCTTTCTGGCTGCTGTTGGCTTGGCTTTCTGGCTGCTTGGCTTTAAACAATTCAAAAACTAAATCATTTGCAAATTGCCTGTCGATTTATAACCTTTTCACAAACAAATTAACAAATTTATCCACAAATCAACTAAAAAAAATGTTTGAGATCATCCGAGAAGTGGGAAAAATATTGAGAATTTTGGAATTGACGAGGCTTTTTTTTAATGTTTCCCTTTTCGTTGCCATGAATAGGGATTTCTGATGACGGCGGCTCGCTTCTCTTCTTTCAAATATTGCCAACTGGAACTGGAAATTGAATTTGAAAATGGTTTGATTTAAGTTTGATCGATTTAGTCTAAGGATTGTTTGAGAGTTCGAGAGATATTCTAGATATTCTAGATTTCCAGGCCAGAGCTAAATTCGGTCATAATCTGGAACAAAACTGGGTCAGAGCAGCGTTAGATCAGCGTTAGATCAGCGTCAAATTAGAAACTAAACTCCGTCCTGGAGGATCCAACAAACTATTTACTATTTCCCATCTAGCATCTAGCTAAACGGATTTGGCTTTGACTGGCTTTGACTGGCTTTGACTGACTTTGACTGGCTGGGCCAAAAGGCTAAAGGCTTAGGCTAGAGTCTAAGCTTAGACCTGGCTCTAGGCTTGGCTAGAGCCTAAGCCTAGAGCCAGATCTAGAGCCAGGACCAAGTCAGAGTCAAGCTAAAGATCAGAGTCAAACCAAGATCCAGTGCCAAGCTAAAAACTAGGCCCTACCCTGTCCTTGAATTGATATTGCTACAGGCTTGCTGGCCTGTCTGGCCTACCCTGTCCTAACTTAACAAAAAAAGACTAATGTGCTTTGTTCTTCGTGCTTAAAAATTCGTAAACACACCCTTTTTCGCACTTGAGCCAAAAATCTATCTAACTTTTTGCTTTAAAAATATGTTCACCTGTAGGGATTCCGGGGAACGTAGCCGAGCGTTTGTCGCAACGAGTTCACCGCTCGTTTAGCACCCTGAAGCTGGTGATTGAAGCTGTTTCAAAGGTTTTGAAAAACTGGATAATAAGATTTACTAGATCTTTATAAAAGAAACAAAATTTTAGACGATTATAACTTCTTGCAGATTGTTATTTAGCAAAAACGGAAAAAAGCAAAGCCCGGAATCGAACTTGCGAGATCTCGCTCTCGAAACGAGCGCTCTACCACTCGGACATGGCTGTACTCGATCAGGTCGGCAAGGAGGCCTCTAAGACCCAAATGGTCACACTTTCTGATGACCCAAATGATCTAACAAAACTTTGGACGTCTTAGCGACGACGTCAGTTGGGTCTTAACGGCTTTCTTGCGACCAAAATCGGGTGAACGAGTGGTCGAGCGGTAGAGCGTTTGGTTCGAGAGCCCGCCCTCGCGAGTTCGATTCCGGCCTCGGTTGCTTTTTGCTCTTTTGCTTTTTTTCAATAAGCTCTAGCATTTAGCTGGTTTGAAAGCTGATCTTCCCTTGTTAAAAATATCGTCAGAACTCTTCAGAACTAGCTTCAATCAAATGGTAAAAGCACTCACAAAATTTGTAGACCCGTAGCGAGAGCCGAAGGGTTCACTGCCGCCCCATCGGTTGTACGACATGTATGACGTTGGATTCCTAAAGAATTTTTGCTTTTATTAACCTTTAATCTCGCCTTAAATCCAGTTTTTTCAACTTTACTTAAAAATGGTTGAAGCTTTTTTAAATTCTGATTTTACAGGCGAAACCGCTAGGGTTTATTACATCATGTCTCCAAAAATCAGAACAAAATCTTTATTAGGTCTACTAGTTATAAGGTGAACAGACAGAGTAATAAATAACCAGCTGCTTTGTTAAAATTTGCAAATTTTTGGGGGTAGGCTAATTTCCGCCATTTTATTTGCGCAACTCGCCATAACTTTCTTCTAAGTCGACCAATCTTTATGATTTTGGTGTCATTTTAATGGAATTGTTGAGATCTACAAAATGACACCAAAATCATAAAGATTGGTCGACTTAGAAGAAAGTTATGGCGAGTTGCGCAAATGACCCAGTTGCACATAAAAAAAGTCTGCGCAACTCACCACAACTTCTTTGCCAACTCCCCAAGTTCTTCTTCCCTTCTAAGTGAACGGATCTTTGATTTTTTTGATGTCATTTTGTAGATCTCAACAATTCCATTAAAATGACACCAAAATCATAAAGATTGGTCGACTTAGAAGAAAGTTATGGCGAGTTGCGCAAATGACCCAGTTGCGCAAAAAATTTGGCGCAAAGTAGTCTATCCCAATTTTTGCCAATGGCTGCACACAGAGAGACGAATAGACAGACGGACAGACAGACGGACAGACAGACGAATAGACAGACGAATAGACAGACGAACAGACAGACGAACAGACAGACGAATAGACAGACGAACAGACAGACGAACAGACAGACGGACAGACAGACGAATAGACAGACGAACAGACAGACGAACAGACAGACGAACAGACAGACGAACAGACAGACGAACAGACAGACGAACAGACAGACGAACAGACAGACGAACAGACAGACGAACAGACAGACGAACAGACAGACGAACAGACAGACGAACAGACAGACGAACAGACAGACGAACAGACAGACGAACAGACAGACGAACAGACAGACGAACAGACAGACGAACAGACAGACGAACAGACAGACGAACAGACAGACGGACAGACAGACGAATAGACAGACGAACAGACAGACGAACAGACAGACGAACAGACAGACGAACAGACAGACGGACAGACAGACGGACAGACAGACGGACAGACAGCTTTCAATTATATACAGTAGATAAGGAAGGAGTCAAATCATAAGTACAATAACTAAGATCTTCTAATCAGCAAGAATGTATCACCACTTTTTTTCCCATGTCTTTCGATAGGCAATTGAGGCGAATGGATTCCGGGGGCCGGCTCGTTTGTCCAGTGTACTTTCCAAAGCTGAATCAATTTAGACATTGCTTAATCCTCGAAAAACCTCACAAGCTGTCTTTCATATCTTCAAATAGCTTCAAATGCCGATAAAAGACTCAAATATTTAAAGATTTCAGTAAAATACTCGGTTAAACAAGTGAAAAACAAGTGATAAAACCCATTTCACTCTGGCTAAAGCCAAAAAAACTGCGTACGCCGATCGTTTATCTCACGTAAAGCCGATCGTTTATCTCCTACACAAAAGAAACCTCAGTTTTTCGTTTTTTTTACCTCTTTTTAAACACTTTTTAGGTGTTAAATGATGAAAATTTTCTTGAATTAGAGATTTTATTAACTAAAAACATTTTATTAACTACCGTATCCATCTAAATCATCATCTTCTTCCGATTCCAATGAAAGCATTCTATCCTCCTCTGCAAAACAGACGAAAAATAGACAAATCAGAGTAAAATAGACGTGTAACCGATTCATTTCTGGAAAGAAATTGAGTAAATATTGAAAAAAAAAAAGCTTGCTTAGTTTCCGGGTATTTTGAAAGAATCTTAAAAGAATCTTTTGAAAGAAAGAATCTTTTAAAAGAGTCCAGCTACTTTGAACGAGCTACTTTGAACGTCACACTTTGAAAGCCCTATAACTTTATCCAGAGCCAATATTTTTCTTAACTTTTTATATCATTGTAAAGAGGACATTTTAGGCTTTCAAATGATACCAAATAGAGATTGTTTGAATAATCAAGTTCAAGAAAATCAGAGCTAATTCTGAGCAAATAAGACCTAGCCGACTCGGGTGTCGACTTGCCTTGTGAGGTGGGGATGAAAAAGCCAGTTAGGCTCTATTTGGTATCATTTGAAAGCGTAGAATGTCCTCTGTACAATGATATAAAAAGTTGGCGAAAATATTATCTCTGGACAAAGTTATAGGCTTTCAAAGTGTGACGATTCGTTCAAAATACCTGGAAACAATTTAAAGGCCTATAACTTTGTCCAGAGCCAATATTTTTCTTAACTTTTTATATCATTGTAAAGAGGATATTTCAGGCTTTCAAATGATGCCAAATAGAGATTGTTTGGATAATCCAGTTCAAGAAAATCAGAGCTAATTCTGAACAAATGAGTCCTTTGAAGCACGGGTGTCGGCTTGCCTTGTTTCATAACCATTTCAATGAGTATTTGCATGGGAATGAAAAATCCAATCAAGCTTTATTTTGTATCATTTGAAAGCCTCAAATCTCCTCTATACAATGATATAAAAAGTTAAGAAAAATATTGGCTCTGGACAAAGTTATAGGCTTTTAAAGTGTGATGACCTGTTCAAAATCCTCGGAAACTACCAAAACCAAAAAAAGAACCAAAAAAGAACCAAAAAAATAAAAACTATCTTAGAAATAGTAATAGTAAGGCTTAGAAAATAGTTAGTCAAATGCTTTTTAGCAAAAATTAGACTTGTTCAAAGCTATTAAAGGGAAAAAGGGCGGGAAATTGCTTTCCAGAGTGTGAAGTTCAGACTAATTGAGTGAGTTTTATTTTCGGCTTTACTAAACAACCTAGAAAAGAGATACATTTTGAAATAAATGACGAAAAGATGGGAAACTTTTTATAAAAACAGCTCGTGCATAAACGATAAAGGCATTCGCAAGCAAAAGAATCTCTAAAAGAATCGAGAAAAAAAGAAGTGTTAAACTGAGCAGAATGACACGTCAAAAGCAAAAAAAAAACGGAACAAAATTCTCATTTGATCGATTCAAAAGCCAGATTCGGTCAAGCTAAAGGGAAAATTGGGTAAATTTCATGAACTAAGCCAATGTAAACCAAGCCAATACCACGCCAAGCTATGCCAAGTAAACGAAGCCGGTAAACCAAGCCAATGTAAACTAAGCCAATGTAAACTAAGCCAATGTAAACTAAGCCAATGCCACGCCACGCTCAGCCAAGTAAATCAAGCCGGTAAACTAAGCCAATGTAAACTAAGCCAATGCCACGCCACGCTCAGCCAAGTAAATCAAGCCGATAAACTAAGCCAATGTAAACTAAGCCAATGTAAACTAAGCCAATGCCACGCCACGCTCAGCCAAGTAAATCAAGCCGATAAACTAAGCCAATGTAAACTAAGCCAATGTAAACTAAGCCAATGTAAACTAAGCCAATGCCACGCCACGCTATGCCAAGTAAATCAAGCCGATAAACTAAGCCAATGTAAACTAAGCCAATGTAAACTAAGCCAATGCCACGCCACGCTCAGCCAAGTAAATCAAGCCGGTAAACCAAGCCGGTAAACCAAGCCAATTGTAAGATTGAAATTCTAGAATAAAGCCAATTGAAAGGCTTTAGCTAAGGGCCGTTTTTTCTCATTTTTGACACCGTTTTTCTCATTTTTGACTGTAAATTATCAATTTTTCAAGGAAACAAATACGAAATTCACCATTTTTGATCAAAATTGACCAAAATTGACCTATAGAAAGTTTTTCATAAACAAAGACAGAGATCCGAACACTTTTTCTCTCAAAACAGTCGTCCCCACCCTTTGGATCTTTCAACTTCAAAGGAATCTTCTGAAATTGCGCGAATCGTTGGAGTACAACAGTGAAAGGATCATCAATTAGACCATCAATTAGAGAAACGCAATCTTACAAGCGATGAAACCCAGTCGAAGAAACCACGATTGTCGAGCGGAAAACATGAGGATATCAGGAAAAGTCGAGAAAAAATGAGGACTTTGAGAAGACACTGATCGAATGACTGAAAGAAATGCGGAGTGAAAACGAGCGTGTTGCTGAGTCTCTACTTTTCGAGAAAGCAATAGAAGTGGAATTGGGTAAATTTCATGAGTAAACCAAGTCAATGCCACGCCAAGCAAAGCCAAGTTAATCAAGCCGGTAAACCAAGCCAATGCCACGCCACGCAAAGCCAGATAAATCAAGCCGATAAACCAAGCCAATTGTAAGATTGTAGCCAATTGTAAGTTTGTAGCCAATTGTAAGATTGAAATTCTAGAATAAAGCCAACTGAAAGGCTCTAGCTAAGGACCGACGCCGTTTTTTCTCATTTTTGACTATAAATTGGCAATTTTTCAAGGAAACAAATACGAAATTCATTATTTTACCAAAATTGACCAAAATTGACCTATAGAAAGTTTTTCATAAACAAAGACAGAGATCCGAACACTTTTTCTCTCAAAACAGTCGTCCCCACCCTTTGGCTTTGCTTGGCTAGCTTTGATTTTTAGTTTTTTTGCCAATCCTTGACCCCACTGTTCATAAGAAACGAAATATTGGAAATCATAGAATAAAACTTTACTCAGTATCAAAAAGTCAAAAAAAAAGACAATCAAGTTTACCGAAACGCAAGAATGATGATTTTTCGTCATTTTTATTCCCGAGAGCGCAGATTTTCAAGTAAGTTCAGAGTTCATGGGCCAATAGAGACTAAAAAAGAGCTAAAAACAACTAAAAACAGCTAAAAACAGCTCAAAACAGCTAAAACCACCTAACAACAGCTAAAAACAGCTGATTATCCCCCAGTTTGTTGTAAAATTTCCCATTGCAAGAGAAAAACGCCAGCTGACACGTGAAAAATTGAGTCATTTTTTGCGAAATTTTGAAAAGTTTTTCAAAAGAAAAACGTGTAAACTGGAGATTCCAAAGCCAGCAAAGATTGGTTTGTTGATCAAAATTTCTATTTTCGACAAAAAAATTGGGAGATTAGAAAGTCAAAGAATTTCTTAGAGTTTTAAAAGTTTCCTTTTGAATGGAAGAAGGAAAAATCTTGTTCTTCCTTTGAAACAATCGAAGATAATGACTTCCTAGTTTTTTGGTAAAAGTGATGTGAGAAAGGGTTTTCAAAAAAAACGATTTGCGATTGAATTTTCAACTTTATTTTGAGTAATTGTAGGGAATAGCGAGAGTTCAAGGTCTAAAAGACCTAGAACAGATTTAGAACAAGCGAGGGGTGGCCGGAGTGGTGGAGGGAGGCCGGTGGGGGGAGGATAGAGTCGGGGTAGGATAGGATCGAAAATGGTTTTCAAAAAAACGATTTGCGATTGAATTTTCAACTTTCTTTTGAGTAATTATAGGGGATTGCGAGAGTTCAAGATCTTTAGATCGTCTTGTTCTAGATCTAGAACAAATTTAGAACAAGCGAGAGGTGGCCGGAGGGGTGGAGGGAGGCCGTAGGGGGGAGGATAGGATCGAAAATGGTTTTCAAAAAAACGATTTGCGATTGAATTTTCAACTTTATTTTGAGTAATTGTATGGAATTGCGAGAGTTCAAGATCTAGAACAAGACGGGCGGCTGGAGGGGGGCGAGTGGTGGAGGGGAGAGGATAGGGTCGGGGTAGGATAAGGTAGGATAGGGTAGAATTCAAAATCTAGAACAAATACTCTTTTAAATGATGTATAAACTTTCTTTTGAAGCCATTTGATTTTAAGACTTTATCAACTACCATATTCTAATACAATCAAACGACAAATATTTTGATTTTGTTGGTCATCACAAAAAATGACAAAAACCTATATATTTGTCTTTTTGCGAAAACATGACTTTTTAAAGATTTGTTTGCTAAATTGCACTTAATCTACGGTACTTTTAGCTTCACCAAACGGGATTTTGCCAGTAATTTTTGTCAAAAGTGGCCTTTTTATTTTCCTGTAATTGAACCCACCCCAATATTCGTTTATTATTTTTATATTGCTTTATTGTTTTCTGTCCTCGCTTACCTATTTTTTAAATCACCTAACTTTTCTATTTTAGATGATGAATCCCGAGAAGCAAAAACGATGGAGGATCGATTTCAATTTAAAGCAAATTTTGGATCTTTCAACTTCAAAGGAATCTTCTGAAATTGCGCGAATCGTTGGAGTACGACAGTGAAAGGATCATCAATCAGAGGAACGCAATCTTACAAGCGATGAAACCCAGTCGAAGAAAGCACGATTGTCGAGCGGAAAAATGGGTGCCGCACGAATTGAATGAAAATCAAAAAAAATCTTCTTTTTGAGGTGTCATCTGCTCTTCTTCAGCGCAACAAAAACGACCCATTTCTCGACCGGATCGTAACGTGCGATGAAAAATGGATCCTCTACGACAACCGGCGATGTTCTGCTTAGTGGTTGGACGCTGGAGAGACTCCACAACACTTTCCAAAGCCAAATTTCCACCAAAAGAAGGTTATGGTGACTGTTTGGTGCCAAAAGCGCCTTCGCCGACTTCATCGCTTCCAGAAGCCCGGACTTCTATGCTACCGGCATAAATAAACTTGTTTCTCGTTGGCAAAAATGTGTTAATTGTAATGGTTCTTATTTCGATTAATTAATTTTTGTTTGGATCAAGTTATGGAATTTTAAATAACGCTGTTGAAAACGCTCATTTATTTCCGGACAACCTAATATAGTCTATAGACCATAGTCT